AGAGAGAGAGAGAGAGAGAGAGAGAGAGAGAGAGAGAGAGAGAGAGATTCGCTCGCAATTTAAGCGATGCGATGAGAGTCTCAAATCGTTTCATCTTTGCTATATATTGTCGATTTGCATAATATTGAGAGAGAAACAGAGACAAGAGAGCTTCAGTTGAAGAGACATACTTGAGAATAAATTGTTCCCTTAAATGTGTCAATTACGAACTTTGAACATTAATTATTTCGGGCATGCATACAGAACATGAATGAAACATGTTTGTGCCGGTGCCAGAGCCTCTCTTACCAGCCCAGCTCCAAATTCATGTGTAAGTAGTACATGCTTCATCTTTCCCTTGTCTTTCATTTCATTAGAATGTTCTGGCCTTTGACCGTAACATGTAATGACACATGATAAAAGCACACGTACCAAGATAAATTGTAGCAAATGTGTCGATTCCTAAGCAATTGATACATGAATATTCCATCTATGTATTCGTTATCAAGTATCAATATCAGTATATCAAGAGAGAAACTAGAGAAACTATGCACACATTTCCTTGGAATTTTGCGATACACAAAAGCCCACTCATAGCACATTTATACATATACACAACAGAGATTCGACTTACAGTTACTGACTTAAAGGCCTAACCTAGGGGTTACTCGCTTTTTCATAAATGGCAACTTATAACCAATAAATATGATTTCATGCAAATATCGCACCAAAATTTTCTAAACACTCAAATGTCTACGATTTTAAACACTTTTTCACCACTTTTGGCCATTTTGTTATGCCTGTTTTTTTTTTCAAAAATGCTGGAAGTGGGTTTTGGTGGATCCTCAGGACAGTTTAGAACTGCTCCCGGTTCTGGAAATGGATACTCAGGATTGACCAGGGCATTTTCAAAACCGATCTGATACATCCTGAAAATCCACCAGAACTCGCTTCCAGAATTTTTGAAGAAAAAAAAATGAATGACAAAATGGTCAAAAGTGGTGAAAAAGTGTTTAAAATCGTAGACATTTGAGTGTTTAGACAATTTTGGTGCAATATTTGTATGAAATCATATTTATTGGTTATAAGTTGCCATTTATGAAAGTGCGAGTAGCCCCTAGGCCCTAAACATTGATAGTTCGATACTATGTGATGGACCTCAAATCGGATTTTTAAAATGAATGAACCTTAGCATTTAAAATGAATGAACCTTGGATTGTTGTCAATGTTTACATTTCGACGCAATTACATAGAAAACCTTGCTTGTAAACAGGGGAAATCCCTTTGCAACAACACAATGGTTTCTAAGAATTAAACATCGCTAAATGAAGAGAATAAAAAGAATTATTATCACTTGACATATATTAGCCACGAAGCCGTTGCTGCCCCAGTTTGTTTATTTGTTTCGCTACACACACAGAGAGAGAGAGAGAGAGAGAGAGAGACGACCGTTCCGTTGGCCAAGTTTAAATTGGCAAGGGCTGCATTAATATATATGGCGTTGGGTGTGCTGCTTAGCAACGTTTAATCGAAATTCAATAGACTGAACGTGTGTCATCGTTTTGCTGGTTATCATGGAAATTACTAATCGCTTTATACCATTGAATTTCTGTGGAAAAAAGTTGGGTAAAAAAATTTCCTTTGAAAGCGGTCAAATAAGTTAAAGTTGTCTTTTCCGACCTAAAAATTCTTGTTATTTTTAACCCTGCGTCTCTCTCTCTCTCTCTCTCTCTCTCTCTCTCTCTCTCTCTCTCTTTTGTGCATTGTGTGTGTGATTGAAAGCAATGTTTTTGAAAAAATCAAAAAGTAATTTTAGCTCGACGAAGTTGAAAAAATTGCGAAAACCAGCACCGAGAGTAGCAAAGACGCAAATTGTGGCCACTCGCAAAGCGGAAAGCGAAGAGTCCGATTCCAGTGAAAACATCTTATCGGATGATGAGAATCAGTGGAAGGATACAAAGCGTACTGTTACGGATCCAACACCAGATTACCAAAATATTCAGAAATTAGTCAAGTACGTGAAAGCGGGCAATACAACCGCCACCATTGTTTCATTGTGTTGTCTAAAAGATCACGATTTGAGCATATCCACCAATCAAATGGTAAGGGATTTTGGGCTTAAAAAATATTTTCGCATTATTTTTTCTTTTCTTTCCTACTTTTTCAATCTAAACGCAAATGAGATGTAAAAGTAGATTAGGAAAAAAAAGTTCGATGAAATTTCCATTCGCATAATTGAGTTTCAATTATTTTCAACCGGAATGCGGCAGGCAATTCAGGAAATCGGTGGGCTCGAAGTGCTTGTCAATTTACTGGAGAGTAAAGATGCAAAATGTCAATTGGGCGCATTGCAAGTGTTGGTACGCATTTCCGGTTCGAATGATGTTCAAAAAGCGATTGTTGACCTAGATGGCATTCCATTGTTGGTAAATATTTTAACGGAACCAGCGTTAAATTTGAAGACAATGGCCGCGGAAACATTAGCCAATGTAGCCAAAATAAAATTAGCGCGTCGTCTTATACGGAAATGTGGTGGTATTCCGAAGTTAGTGGATTTACTTGATGTTAAGCTTGAGTAAGTTGAATAGCGCGTTGTATTGATAAGGCCAATTTTCCTTCTTCTTTTTTTGTTTGGTCGTAGCTTTGAGCTGCGTACATTTATATTTTGTGTGTGTGTGTCTGTGTCTGTGTGTGGGAGAAAATTCCGTTGTATGTATAATTTATGAGCGGAACATTTCTATAACCTGTGTAGCATTTTATTAATGTCTCGAGAGCAATTAGCCGACGAGCAAAAGCTGCAAGTAAATATGGCATGTGCTGGTGCTCAAGCACTTTGTTCACTCTCCGAATCGAAGCCAAACAAAGAGACGATGCGGAAGTTCGGATTGGTACCGTTGATGTCACGGCTTTTGAAAAGTGTACACATCGATTTGATTGTGCCAATAATGGGCACTTGCCAGAATTGCGCATCAGAGGTAACATGAACTTTTCGGCAATTTCTCTCTCTCTCTCTCTCCCTTTCCATCCTGTTGAATTTCATTGTATTCAATGTTCATTAACACAGCACAATTAAATTTAATTAAAACTTTCACTTTCATTGCATACTGAATTCGCCCGCGGTGTACGCGGCCGTCGTTCGTTCACTTGTTTGAAAATCACGGCGACCAAATGCGGTCGTGTGTTGGAAAACTAGGAAAATTTCCAAATTGCTGTCATCAGTGAGAACATGGTAGAAAATATTGTGTATCATTTGTATTCCGACAACTTGGATATCAAATTACAATGCAGTTTAGCCATATTCAAATGCGCCAGCAACCGAGTGAGCAGCTTTTTTTATGATTGTATTATACCTGCCCCATGCTATAATAATTAATTTCATCGCTGAAATTTAATGAATTTTCATTGGTTTTTTTTTCCTCCCGTAGACAGTGAGCGATATGGTACGAGAGGCACATGGTTTGGAACAATTGATGTCAATAGTGAAGGACAAAAGTATGCGAGATATTAAGCCATTATTGGCAGCGGCAACAGGTGCACTGTGGAAATGTACATTGGTTGAAGAGAACGTCAAACAATTAGATAATGTAAGCCGTATGGTTTAACGCACGTATTATAAGCCCTCGAACATTTATTTTGGAATTTTATACAATATGTACCTCAATGTCGTTCGAAAATTTTCGTCTTCAAAACTTTTTCCTTTTAGCTTCGCATCCTGCAGGTTTTCGTGACGCTGCTAAATGATGAAAATGAAAATGTTCTGACAAATGTGGTGGGTGCGTTGGCTGAATGCTTGAAATTTTCAAGTAATCGAACTTCTTTTCGTACAATTGGCGGTTTAACGCAACTCGTCAGCCTCCTAAACAGCACATACGAACCGCTGTTGGAAAATGTGACAAAGGCATTGTGTGAATGCGCGAAAGATATCGAGAGCATGCATATTTTAGAACAATTGGATGCGGTTCGTTTAATTTGGTCGCTGCTCAAGAATCCATGCTCTCGAGTTCAAGCCTATGCTGCGTGGGCTTTATGCCCTTGTATCAAAAATGCCCGAAATTCTGGTGAATTGGTGCGAAGTTTTGTTGGCGCCATGGAATTGGTCGTTGGCCTATTAAAATCTACCGATACATTGGTTTTAGCTGCTACTTGTGCTGCCATTGCCACAATTGCAAATGACAAAAATAACTTGGCCGTGTTATCCGATCACAAAGTCATACCGATGCTGGCTGATTTGGGTAAATTGCATTAATTTGACCCTCTGAACTTTATCAATAAAAAAGCGTTTAACTTAATTGGAAGAGAATTTGATTTTAACCACACAGTGTTCACATCGGATGATATGTTACGAGAGAATTTAGCTGCAGCCATTGCGAACTGTGCACCGTATGGAACGAATACACAAGAATTGGGACGGTTAAAGATCGTCGCTCCGATAGTGGGTTATATGGTAAGCAAAAATCCACGAGTTCATCGTACTACCGCTATGGCCTTACAACGTCTTTCCGTCGATCCACAGAACTGTATCACAATGCATCAAGTAAGTAAGATATAATTTTTGCATAGAAATCAAATTTCAAGCCATCTTTTCTATGGCAACAAAACTTATCGAAACACTTTAGCTATCCGATGAATACACAGAAAAAAATAAAAGTCTACATCTGGTCGTTTTTTCAGCTAAAGACTCATTCAGCCGATATTTCTGCTAGTACCTTGAGCTACAGGCGAAATTCCGCTTATAATCTAGCCGGTATTTCGTTTGAAACTCCGTTTGCTAGGCAAAATATAGGACTGGGCGCCTCTACCAGTCGAAATTCCGCCTAAATGTGGACATTTATTTTTGACTGTGTATTAAAGTGTATCTTATTATTGCTTTCCGATTGGCAGAGTGGCGTTGTACCCTTCTTACTCGAAACAGTTGGCTCCAAAGACAAAGAACTCCAAGAAGCATCGGCGGGTTGCTTGCAAAATATTCGTGAGCTTGCTTTGCGAGCTGAAGAATTTAAATTAAAAAAGGTGTTTGAATGAACGTTTATTTATTATTATTGATGTTTATTGCTCGTGCTTTGTTCGAATTAAATCAAATATGTGATTTTTTTTTACGTAAAAATAAGTATCTTATGTTATTCATTTGTTGTAAACTTCTTGTACGTTTCATTTCACAATAGAATAAGTCTTAACGATCTCAGATATGTTGTTTTTTGCGTGGTCAGTGTCAGAGAAGGGAAAAAACTTTGAAAAAAATATATGAAAACTATTCGCAAATAATGTAACGAATTAAAATGAAAATCTCCTTGCGATAATTGCTTAAATATCGATATGCGATGTGTGTTCGGTATCATTATTTATCACCAACGGAATATGCAACGCCAGATGGGTTTGTCGGAACCGGCACAGCACCACGACGATGTTTACTGAAACTGAATAGAAAATAAATGGTTAAAAAAAGTTTCTTCAAGCGAAATGATGTTTTCATTTTACATGAATAAGATTTTATTTTTCTGATAGAGTTTTTTTCCCTGTCGAATACTTTTTCCAGCAACTGAAAAACTCAGTCACTGAAGTGGTTCATGAATGAGTTGCATATAAGTAAGTCATTATGAATTTCACAAAGAAAAAAAATTAAGTAAATATGTTATTCAAAAGGAAAACTCACCGGTCTTTTCCTTTCAAGTAAATGTAGTAGAATAGAAGTGGAACGGGTGTCATCAGTGCAACTGACACAGGGATAACTGTCGTTAAATCACCTTGTGGTTGAGCCAATGCCAGTCGAAGAATGAAGATCGAAATGCCGGTATTTTGAATTCCAGCTTCAATTGAAATGGCCACACAGTCCTCATGTTTCTGTTTAAAGCACTTAGCAACCGTCCAGCCAACAATATAAGCGATCCAAGGTAATCCAAGCCCGGCTACAATGATCTGTTGACGAACACACCAGTATGGTAATAAATTTGATAAAACCACGTGTGTAAAATTGGGTGAAATCGATTGTAAAATCGATTGATACAATGATAAGAATATGATGATATACATATCACGTAGGTACTCACTTGCCACGTGAAGAGTTCAAATAGGTATAGATTGGTGACGATTGCAAAGATAATGATGAAAATAATTAACAGCGATGAGCATGTTTTGAGAATCCGGACAAGTACTTTGGCAAGACGCGGCAAATATCGTTGGATAAGTAATCCGATTATGAGCGGAACGATGAGGCCAACGGCCATGATACCGATCTTTTTGTATGGAACCTGCAATTCGCCGCGGTCAAAGATCGTTGTACCGAGTGTGAAAATCCAAATCGGCATCATTGCTAGAATGATTGATAAGGCAATCATAAATTATGTCATTTTCACATTGATTAAATTATAACGCAACATTTGAATCATTTGTATTTACCGAATGCGGAAAACGTGCTAATCGTTGTCATTGAAATGGAAAGATCCAAGTTTCCGCCCAGAATTACAGACCAAATATTCGAAGCACCTCCAGATGGCGAGACTCCGGTAAAGAATAAACCCAGTTGCATTTCCACATTATTTGGGAAGAGAATCATGCCCAAGACGTAGCTCAACTGGAATATAAAATTTGGTTTTGTGTCACTCTCATGCTTGTTATGAGGTCAATTTACGAATTCTTTGTATGACAATTCCACGTGAAGGGAAGATTGAGTTGTGTTGCTCAAAGAAATTGAGTTGTGTTGCTCAAAGAAACGTCACTCACCAATGGCATGAACAGAAACTGGCAAACGAATGCAATCAACGGTCCAATGGGTCGCACCAAAATCTCCTTCACTTTGCCCAAATCCAAAGCGGCACCAAAATTAATGTACAATATCGACACCAATGCCACAATTGAAGCGGTAAAAACGTGATCGATCGTCCGTTCCTCTCTGATGATAACAACATGCAGTGATTCATTTGATTTTTGTGAAACCCCTTTGAATGTGATGTTTGCATAAATTTTAGCGGTGCCCAGAAAATCCGCCGTAATATTGATGTAACCGGTGAGATTACCATCTGTCATTTCATTGAAATCATATTGACTTTGTGCAATCACTTTTAAAATCCCCGAATCACTGGTTATATTAAATATAGCACCGTCTTGAATATAGTCCACTTCAACATCTCTCAATCCAGTGAGTGTGAAATTCACCGTTTGCGATGACTGCATGTGCATTTTAATCGGATTGGGTTCAAAGTTTACCTCCCATGCTGTTGTGGTTGTCAACAGTACGGTGAAAAGGCAGCTAACTACTAGAACGTAGTCTTTAAAAGTTACTGCCATATTTAATGAGCAATTGTCAGAGAAAGAGTGACGAAAAAAAAATGATCTGCAACAAAAAAAAAAGGTCAATTGAATCAATTTTTGTTGTTGTTTTGAACACGACAAAATGAACTACCGATGATTGTACACCGAACTCACTTGAATAAGTCAACAGCCGCCACTTACACTTGTTACTCTTGTCTATAAATATTTCAGTAAGAATGCGAGTAAAAATTGTAATTAAATTTTATATATACGCGTTGTGTGTTGTAAGTGATCGATCGTTCAAATGAACACCGAATACATGACGATGACAACGCGATGGCTGTGGTGGACGATAACTTATCACAAGTGCAATAAAGCTATTGTTACAATTGAATGGACTGAACAAACTGGTTTATCTTCAAAATAGAAACAAATTATAAAGTAATATCACGACCAATTTTTTTTTTTGGTTGGTTGGTTTGAACGATGCACACAGCAATGGAAAAAAATTGTAGAATGAATTCGATTACAGCAAAACAAACGCCGCGCAACAAGAAGAATAATACACAAGCGAAATGAATACACGAAAAAATATGCCCTCGTACGCTGTTGTCAGTTGTGCGGAACGCATACAAACAAACTGTTGATCACTAATACTGGTGTAAGCTTCCAATTCTTGGCAAAAACGTTAGGCTATTCCATGTAGTACACACATCGTGTGTATGTGTGTGAATGTGGGTATTGAGCCTACGCAACCGAATCACGCACCAATAAAACTAGTGACTTGCGTCTCTGTGTCTGCGTTTGACTGTTGGAATGCGTTTCGTCGCATGCGGCTCTCTGTCTGTCTCTCTACGCGGCAGCATGTTTCACATTCTTTTTTGACAAACAAATGACATTGACATTGGAACGAACCGAAATCATGAATATGGAATACAAGTCCAAATCAAAAACAACCAATTTGAATCTTTTATCCATAAAAAAAACACAATCGATTTTTATTATGAAATTTTACAATTTTCCTTTTATAAGAGACAAAAATTCGGATTTTTCATTTTTTTTTGTTTCTAGAAAGAGTCGTTCATTTCATTAAAAAAAAAACGTTAAAATAATTTTCCTCATTCTCATTACGATTTTGTGTGTATGTAAATTGATCACATTTTTATTTGTTGTTATTGTCTACGGAAGCCACCATGCTTGGGTTGGTCTTTTATTTTGCTTTACTTTACTTATTATTTAGTGGAACGGGTGTCCGTCCATTATTTTGTAAGTAACGATAATAATGTTTGATTAAACGTTTTCTCAACAACCAAATTTGAGCAATATGTACTACGCTACACTTTTCTAACTAAAATCGAAAAAAAAAAATAATTCTTTCGCATGTGAAACAATCCTTCTTCACAAACATTGTAAAAGGCTAACTGATCAGTCTCTGCAGATGCTGCTTAGGCTTTTACATTGCCTGTTTAACAGATAACATAAAAACATAAATCCAATGATGGTGCAACAGCAACAAAACAAAATAAAATGAATAAATACAATCTTTTTTTATATCTTAAATATTGATTTTGAAACCGCAACCATGATATGAAACTAATTGAAATTTCCATTCATTTCACTATTTGAATTGTTTTGTTGTGGTTGTACTCTAGTAAACTCCACTCTCCTGGGATTGGATGCATTCTTTTATCTCGGCCGGAAATTCACGCTCGCGTCGACGTCGATTCCTAGAAATGGAAGCGTTTTATTTTCCATGAGTAAATTATGAATATGAGATCAACTCATTTAGATGGAAGAATGGCTTTAGAATCATTAGAGGCTGTACCAGGTTATCGCATAAATTCATCAGAGGGAATTATATCGTAGCGATGCCTGGACCGTACTAACCATTCTCGAACTTTGAGGCAAAGATAAAATGCAATCAGCGGGAATGGAGTCATTATCGCCACTGATACCGGCAAAACGGTCGTTAAATCGGCTTCTGGCTGACTCAATGCGCTACGAAGAACGAAAATGGCGATTCCAGTATTTTGAATTCCTGCTTCAATTGAGATAGCCAAACGATCCTCGTACTCTTGTCTGAATATCAGTGCTGCCAGCCAGCCCACAAAATATCCCAGCCACGGTAATAATAGACCAGCCACATAGATCTACGAATAGGAAAATTGGATGTTTGAATGAATATTACATTTTTTTTTTTTGGACAAATAAAATATTTTGTCAATTTTTCACATTTTTTCTTTCATCTAACTCACCTCCCAGGTAAACAGTTTGAACAGGTACAAATTCGTAGCAATTGCAAAAATAACAATAAACAGAATTAAACACGCTGAACATATTTTTAGAATACGCACTAAGAAACGTGCTACGCGTGGATAGTATCGTTGAATTAACAATCCAATTGCAAGCGGAATGATTAAACTGAAGACAGAGCTTGCGATTTGGCCATATGGTACTTTCATGTTTCCACGATCGAATATCGTTTTACCGAGCGTAAATATCCACAACGGTGTCATAACTACAATTGAATGCAATGAATTCAAACATTAGAAACAAGAATATTCAAAATCAATCGAAATTGAAATGGCTAAAAATAAATCAATTCAAATATTGCCATAGCACATACCAAAAGCTGCCAAAGTGCTGGTTGTGCTCATTGTGATGCTAGCATCAAGGTTTCCGCCGAGAAGCACGGTCCATGTGTTTGAAGCGCCACCAGCGGGACTACTTCCAGTAAAGAAAAGACCAAGTTGCATATCAGCCCTTCCCGGGAATAGCCACAAACCAAGCGCATAACTTGACTGTTTAGAGAAAAAAAAAATTCAATGTTATGATGATGAATTAATGAAGCAGAGTGTCTTTTTAATTAAAAGGACAAATCTTTGTCTTGGACTTTTTTTGTCTTTGGATGAGATCCCGAATGTGCAAAACGTTATACATTGTACAACAAGTTTAAGCCTAAGCCATTTTAATTAACTCAGATTTCCCTCTTACCAATGGCAAAAATATAAAATGACAGCAAAATGCGATAGCTGGTCCAATTGGTCTACGCAGTACACCTTTGACTTTGCCCAAGTCCAATGCAGCTCCAAAATTGATGTACAAAATCGAAACCAATGTGGCAACGCAAATAATGAATAGCGTGTCAATTAGTCTCTCTGGACGAACGATAACAACGAGCAATTCTTGCGATCGTTCCCGATCTCCATTCTTCTTAGTAATTTCCACAAAGAGATAAGACTTTCCAATAAAAATCGCCTCAATGTCAATTGGTCCTTGCCATTTGCCACCTTCGATATCCTTCGGCAGAATTTCCGTTAACACCAACAGACGATCGGTTTCGTTGCTAACCACTCGAATTGTTTGTAGTTCAGTTTCAGTTAAATTGGTTATGCTTAAATTGATATGAGTTGCAGTGTTCATGTGTATTAATAAACACTCTTCAGTTTGATTTTTTTCGCACTTTGATTCATATTGCCACTGAGCTTGCCAACTGTTTTCAGCACGTAACACTTGACATTGAACTAATAATAACAGTCCTAAAGCACACAAAGTGCCCGGTGATATGTTTCGGTTGGCCATCACTTTTGATTATGATGTGATCGATGTTTGTCTGGATTGTGTTACACTCTGAAAAAGAATATTATCAAAAGAAATTGTCAATACTGGTTGAATCTTCTTTGTTTTTTTCTGTCAAGTCATATTTCCAGAGCACTTATCGGTTGTAAATAAAGCGGCACAATACCTGATAGTAAACTAATACACAATCGATCGTCGCTTATCGGGCACGTACTAGAACATACTCAAACGATTGGCATCAATTGAGACTCTAACGAAATGGCAGCCGTATACGATCCACTGTTTCAAGTGATTTGCAATGAAAACAATTCTGTGTATTGTTAACGTAATTTAAGTTGCACAAACAATTCTACGGAAATGGAGAGACACAAACAAAAACGAATAGAAAATTACTAGTCGTGCTTCATGATCTGTCATCGGTTTGCACAATAACAGCAGCGTGAAAACAGCTTAGTAATCGAGATAAATTGAAAAAAACATCAATCACTGCGACGCAGTTAAAGCAAGTATATATTCAACGCTATGTGGAACACAGACAACACATTTATACAAACGGCGGATCGCTGAAGCGGTATCCAAAAATCAAATACTACGTTTTTTTAAAAATGGTTGCACGTATGCCAAAATAAAAACAGAAAGCAAAAAACATAGGTATTGGTATACATAGACTGTGTGTACTGATCGTAACGAGTAAGTGCGTACGTGAACGAATGGCCATCAGCGATAAACTTCGACTAATTGCGATATACCAAGAGTTAAAAATGTGGAAGGATTTGTGAAAGGTTTGAACTATTCATTGTTTCGTCTAAATTTAACTATGATCGACTTTTTTTTACCAATTTCAGTATTCGGTAGATAGATAACAATGGAACATAGTCTTATTTGTTTGGGTGAAAATTGGTCTGAGCCACAACTTAACTTAATTGACCCATCATTAGTGTGAGTGTTGTGTTGGAAGTTGAAATTTATTTATTTTGAAGAAAAAATATTCAGAACTTTGAACTTTCACCCTCTTTGAATGACTGAAATTTGAACTGGAAAGTAAAACTGTTTTAATTTACTAGTTTTCATTCAAGAATGTTCCAATTGACCAAAAAAAAAAATTGTGAGAAACTTGACGAAAGTGAAAATTACATTGAGAAACTTCCAAAAATTGAAGAGTTGCTTTAATTTCCCGGTTTTCGTTGCAAATTATTAAATTTCTTCGCTTTCGTTGAATTGTCGATAAATAATCGTGGGAATTTTATCACGCCGTCAATTCTTTTTAATAGATTTACACTTCACGTTTTTTTCGTGAACCATCGCGATAAGTAGGGATCTGTGTAAAAGATATGGCACAACCGAAGTCACATTTTTCCAAGCACCTCCTTGTTTTGAAATCTCGAATTTACATTATGAAAACCATCATTTAAGCAAACTTTCTCAGAATAATTGAATAGAACTCACTTCAATTCACATAAAACTGGTCGTAAAAAATAATTTTAGATCAATTTGTGATTACCCGTAATTGAGTACTTGTGTTCTTACCGTGATAACACCGAAAAAAATTTCTTGGAAAAATCAACTGAAATGAATACAATTGAAATGAATTACATAAAATAAAAGAAACCTTATGAACTAGTGGCGATGAGTATCGTGTAAGATTCTGTTTTGAAACACACATTGACTGATGGTCGGAGGTTTCTCTCACACAGCTAATATAATATCATACAAAGAGATATACGAATGAAAGAGAACACAAAAAGTGAAAATCTCGTGCAACCACATAGACTGTCAAACGCAGACACTCACACACACGTATGTTTGGCTTCCGTATGCAAGTGAGTGCGTAGTTGTGTGTTTTATGTTGGCCACATGGAATTGACAGTTGAGACAACCTTTTCGGTTTGTAGACATTGTACAAATGTCACAAAAATCCATCGCATTAAATTCTAGGGATAATACACAAAACATCTCTATTATGTGGAAAGTCTGAATAATTGAAATGAAAAACGAATGAAACAGGACATATTTTGATGCTGGACTTATAAAATTGTGCAATATAATGTAGTGCAATCAAGTGGTTTTTGAAACAAAATATACATCCCGTGAATGAAATTTTTCTTTTCACTCAGTTTGCTTGATTTGAATATTTTTATCCTTATCTTATCTATTTGGATCGTGTTTAGCGTGTGTGTATGTTGATTTTGTGTTCTGATTTAAAAAAAAACCTCTGGGAAATGTTCATTTGAAGCGGAAAAAATAATAAAATGAGATTAATAAGTAATAAACGAGTCATGGAACACAATTGGGTACAGTCATTTCAATGGATAATCGTTACATGGATACTTTTCATGGGCACTGTGAACGTACATGGCATCGATATCGACCGAATATGCCCACGAATGCTACATAAAGTATTCAATGGTTATGCACCAATTGGTAAATTCATTTGCATTGAACAATTGATGATCAAACAAATTAATCACGTATTCATTCGCTTTTAGGCAATAAAACAGCTGGAACATACAAAGAATTTCTAAAAGCATCGGGCATTGAAACATGTGCCGTTCAATGTTGTATGCAAAAAACCGAATGCAACGTTGCATTTGTTTTTAACAACAAATGCTTTCACGTTAAGTGCAATGACGATGAACAATGCATGCCACTTGAACGAACAAACATGGAGTTTAAATTGAAAATGGTGCTTGTCAATCCAGTGGCACCAGGTGAGTGGAAGAATTTATTTTAATGGAATCGAATGGTTTTTTTTTTGAGCTCACTCAGTCGAAAATCTGTTTTTTATCACATTGGAATTTTTTGTCTGAATTTCAGACTCTGAAATGAAATTTTTCGAAGAACAAAAATTGTTCAGAGGAAACAACTAACTGAAACTGTTTTGTTGAACAACTTTTCAATTTCCACTGTAAATTTTCCAATATTAATTCTCCTCTTTATCTGCTCTCAATCCTAGATGCATCATGGCCGGAATTGCTGAAAATCAAAAATCTTGAAACGCAGTACAAATCGATGGACTTGCCGATTGATCCATCGGATTTGAGTGTAACTGAGCACATTTATCCGGATCGTTTATCGTACAATCCGTATCCGAATTTTATGGAGAAACAATTGAACGATGCTCTAGAGGATCGTGCCTATGGTTATGCGCGTTACAATGATTTGAGTCCGTATCAACAGTATGATAACGATTTGGCAGCCGACGAATCAAAGGTCTCAATTTTACGTGATGCTCAATGCGCAACTAATGGAAAGTCGTGTGGCGAGAATGAAGCCTGTATGCAATTGGATTCGAAATCATTGTTAGGAATTTGTCGCTGTAACATCGGTTATATACGTAATGCATACCAAAAATGTGTATTAGAAGAACCCAACTTGAGCTACAATCCCGATAATTTCAATGAGAAAATGATGATGATCAAACATTTGACGGAGAATCGCGAGGATCCGGTTGATGACAGCAAAGCGGAAAGCGGTGAAGTTGATCCGAAAATAGGTCATTTATCAGTGTCAGTTGTTTCGAAAACCGTTCAGTTGCCAGATAACAAAGCAACATTAAGTGCTTTCCCAGTTCCGGATGAACAAACCAGTGGCGCTACTTATAACTATTCGTGGTCACTGATTTCGCAACCAAGTGGAGATACAAACGGAACGATGTCGGATAAAACGAAAAGTGAAATTGAATTGACCAATCTCTCGGAAGGCTTGTATCGATTCAAAGTTGTCGTATCTGGAAAGAATTGGAAAGGAGAGACATTTGCAAATGTTACAGTTTTACCAGAAAAACGATTCAATAAAGCTCCGATTGTTGTCATCAAGCCAGCCACACAAATCATAAAGTCACCAACAAGTTCAGCAATTTTGGATGGTAGTGCAAGCACGGTAGGTTCAAGTAATATTGTTTGAAAAATGTTATTAAATCTACAAAAAAAAAAATTAAATTGGATGCATTAAAACGTCTTGACATCAATTAAATCTTTAGGACGATGATCAAATAAAAACATGGCGATGGGATTTAATCCAAGGTCCAATGAACTATGCGCCTCTTATGACTGAAACCAGCACATTGCAACTCACCAATCTTACTCTGCCGGGAAATTATACGTTCAAATTGACTGTTACTGATTCGGATAACATCACGAATTCCACCATAGCCAATATCACAGTTTTGAAGGCCACTGATTATCCACCAAGTGCGAATGCTGGTAAGGGAACTAATGATTTATTTTCATTTCACAACAATTTACATTTTTGTTTATTTAAATCAATTTTATCCACAAAATATTCTTCTTTTAATAGGACAACCGGTTATTCTTTACTTGCCTCAAAATAATGTAACATTGGACGGTTCTCACAGTACGGATGATCATGAAATAACGGCTTGGGAATGGACAAAGGATCCATCTGACGTGTCGAAAGCCGTTGATATGCAAGATACTCGAACACCGTATTTAAAACTGTCAAACTTGGAAGAAGGAATTTATACATTTGTGCTTAAAGTGACCGATGCTAGCAATCAATCGAATACTGCCCGAGTCTCAGTGTTTGTGAAACGACCATCAAACAAACCACCTGAAGCCAATGCAGGACCAAACCAAACGATTTCATTACCTCAAACATGGGTTTCGCTTAATGCATCCAATTCAACGCATGACGCTAAAATCAATAGCTATGAATGGGTACAGATCAATGGACCGACAAATGCAAATATTCTAAATAAAAATTCGGTTGTTGCAAATGCAACCGGATTGACTATCGGTGCGTACACGTTTGAAGTGCGTATCGTTGATGACAGCAACAACAATGCATCGTCAAGAGCTACAATCACTATTGTTCAAGGTAAGCGAATCGATATAAATCTTGGGCATGAACATTTTCCACACATTACTACCAAAAAGAATTTAAAATTCATTTGTTTAACATAAATTTTCTCCATAGAAAAAAATACGCCGCCCGTCGCACATGCAGGAGGTGATCAAAGTATAACTTTACCAAAAAATGCCATTTATATGAATGGATCAAAATCAAGTGACGATTTGGGAATCGTGAAATATGAATGGCAACGCGATGGTGCCAGCTTGGCCATTGGATCCATTGTTGGAAATACAGATCATGAACCCGTTTTAATTGTGAGTATTGCAAATTTCAAGAATGAAATAATCATTCCTCTTAAAAAAAAATTCATTCACATTTAGATGTCAAGTCGAAAGAATGTCATTCATACCATATATCTCATTCATCAATTGAAACATGATTCATTTCAGATTACAAATATTGTCGCTGGTCGATATGTATTTAAGTTAACAGTAACCGATGGCCAAGGCCTGTCCAGTAGCGACACAGTCAGTGTTATTGTGTATCCTGATCCGTTGTTGAAGAATTTAGTCGAAATAACATTTGCGGCCGGTGTTTCCGTGCTCACCGAAACCGAGGTGCAATCGTTAGAACAAAAACTAGTTCTACTGTTAGGAAATAATATGAAGTTGATCGTTCGCGATTTGCGGATGGAACAAAAAACCGGCGAAGCTATTCTTATCTTCTACGTTGAACAAGTGGTAAGACATGTGACAACCAATCGATTGATTTGCAATATTCATTTCAATTTTAATTTCTTTAAATGAAAATATTTCTTAAAAAACGTTCGTCTTTTCCACAGACTGGAGCTAAGGAAAACCAAATCCTAACCGGTTTTGATGTTGAAGTAATGCTAAAAGACAAACTCTGGAGTGGCAGTAACATAGTTGGAATGCCTATCTCGGATATTCGCACAACGGTATGCCAGAATAAATGTTCAGGCCACGGTGTTTGCAATGCAGATACGCGCGCCTGCATGTGTGATACATTTTGGATGCCGAATTTATACTATTTCTGGGGCATTGGTGAAGCCAACTGTGGTATGTATTCAATGGGGATCAATTTTGAGCCGGACTTTAATGAGTACTCAATTAACTCCAAATAATTTTGTTCGCCAAATAGACTGGTCCATTTTGTATGTTGTCATCGGAGTATTTATCACGTTTATACTAATATCAGCTATATGCTGGGGTCTCACTCGCTACTGCCGCACCACAAAGCCTCGAACACGAGCAAAAACACAGAAATATTCGCTACTTGAGTCACAAGACAACGAAGTTCCATCATGTAAGTATACTCCAAAAGGCCTTTGACAGCTCACTACTAGCGCTGCGAAACAAGCGTCAACAGTTGGGACGGCTATTGAATGCAATTTTATCAATTTTTAACCGCGAACTATTGAATAATTTTTATTTTTAATCGATTTTTGTCAGAGCATAAATTCAACCTATTTACATATTCAATAATATTTTTTTTCCCCAGTAAATCGCGCCGTTTCAATGACAGAATCAGACACGGACTCAGATGTACTCTTCGAAAATCAAAACAAATCAAATGGTGTGCACCGGAGCAACGGATCGGTGAAAAATGGCCACAAAACTTATGCAACAACACGACTTGGCCGTCGAATCAAAGCGTAAACATGTATACATTCCTTAAAATATGCACAATGATTGCCTTCGTTGAGTTGTTCAGTAGAGAGAGTTTTATAAAATGAATTTTAGGAAATATATTTATTATTTGAATGGGAGCATTTTTACACGTGCGTGTGTATGTGTAACACACACACATTGATAACAATTAGTTTATAGATAAATGCTAGCCGTGATTTTTAGTTTGGCATCTAAAGGATCCCAGAATGATCTCTAGTCTGAAACATAAGTATTTTTATGGGATTTGATTATTATATAAATGTCTATTATTTACCGATAAAATGCTTTAAGCCAAAAACAGTGAAAACCGTATTGTAAAAATTGCTCAAATTCTGAAATTCCGAGCAACCAGCTAAAAAAAAAATTCGTATTTATTTTATTGATTTGTATTAAAAACAAAACCAATTGCAATTTACCATTAATGGCCATCCAACACTTAACGAAATATTCTCTTTTTTCTGTTACTTATTTTCATTTTCTTATGAATTTGTATTGTGATTTTATTTATGTCGAAACAAACCGTAGAAGTAGGTAGCTTAAACTAGATAATAATGATTTTCAAATCAAAACCAATAAAAACCGTATTTCAAAAGAGAAAGAAATTTTCATGTTATTTTTTGAAGTGTTTTTCAAGACCCTGCCAACATTGAAAGTAGGCTTTATCCAATTTCATACAAGTTTCTTCTCCCCATTTTGTAACTGCCATGCTTAAGGACGATTCGAACATGAATGCCTGAGTGCCAACAGCAATTTTTTCCGCTTTCAATTTGGCATTTGATGCGCCATCGAAACAACCTTTGTCTGGACCATGCGGTGTCATCATTGAATGGAATGTTGCTCCACCAGGGTTAAAACCACTTTGCTTCGCCTCATATTTTCCCAAAATCAAGCCCATAAACTCACTCATGCAGTTTCCTATGAATGTTTCAATGGGAATTAGAGTTATCCAAGTGTTTTATAAAGCTTCAACACATGAGCACGAGCAATTTACTCACGGTGATAATATGGTGGTCGGAATGTATTTTCCTGAACTGACCATCGCGGTGGGAATATGACAAAATCCGCAATTGCTGTACCAGCTCGATGGCTTTGACATGTTAACACCGTGAAAATGCTTGGATCCTGCAATCATTATATCAAAAGATACTCAATCTATTGCATATTCAATACAAGTATTTTCAGTTTTTCTGAAATTCAATCGCTTTTCTACCAAAGATTCGATTATTCGTGTAAATATTCAAAGAAAAAACTTTTGGGACAAAAATCATCACATGCTTCAGTGAAACAATGATATATTGTTTCATATTTTCAAAACACGAATGGTACCTTTCTATTGAGCACATTGAAGTTATAAATTATTAGTCAAAAGACGATCCGAAATTGACGCATTTCAAAACTTACGCAATGATCAAAGCTCACGGAATTGATGACACAGAATTTAGATAAATCATATTTATATGGCGCGTAATTGCCATGCCAAGCAACTACGTCGAATGGGGAATGATTTGTTTTTGCCACAAATAATGCGCCTTGATATTTTGCTATGATTCTATAGTCTAAAAACAAACAGGCATATAAAAACGTAAATAAACAAGAATTTTAAAAGAAAAGAAGATTCGAAAAAAAATCTTACTTATATTGTCAATATCTTCAAACCAGGCGGTTGGTGTTTCAAAGTCTCTGGGATTTGCAAGACCGTTTGCACCGATTGGGCCCAAGTCAGGCAAAGTGAAGTGATTGTCGTACACTTCCAAGATGTAACCTCTGTGGAGACGAAAGTTATGATGGAAAAATATTCATATCCGATGTTTTTCTTTTTCAAGTTCAACGTTTATCTTGATTAACTATTCTACGGATTTATTAACCCATATCCACTTCCGAATGCATAAAAAGTTACCTCGACAATTCCGAAACTGCAACGGAAAACTTGATTCCTTGCTGAATGACGCATATTTCGTTTGGAGCAACAGACATACGACCGAATTCGGTTTTAATATCAAGCGTCCCTTGCTGCGGCACTGTAACATAATTTTATTGTTTCAATTCGCCACTAAAATGTTTTATGTTCAATACTGCCGAAAAAACGCACCAATCAAAAAGTCGCCATCGCTATTATAAAACGCGCAATCGTTCATCGACTGATTGCACAAGTAGATATGAATGGCGATGCCATGTCTGCTGCACGGTTCACCGGCGCCACAAATCGTATGCAATCCTTCGATAAAATTGCACTTTTTCGTCGGATCATTCAATTCGAACGGTTTCCATCGCATTTGATTTGGGTTTGGATGTTGCTCACTCCAATTGATGGTTACGAATGGAGCCGATAAAAATTTGTCATACGGTTCATGCAATACGGATGGTCGAATTCGATAAAGCCAACTCCGTTGATTACTACTTCGTGGTGCAGTGAATGCCGTTCCAGATAGTTGTTCAGCATACAAACCATAAGCACACTTTTGGGGATTGTTCTGTCGCTTGGGCAATGCATCGGGGTAATCGAGATGCTCCGACGAAAAATGCGAACCAAAACCACTCTGGTACTAAATTAATTACGAAAATAATCGAGTTTTAAAATTGCAATCACAGCACTTTGAAAAGAACCATTTTAACTTTAAGTTTCTGTTGAAGAAATTTCCTTTGCTCATTTTTTACCGTATACTTTGCCATGGTGATGCACTGCTCTTTGTTCTTGCTAAAAAAAAAGAAAAATCCCACCCAACGTAGTAGAAAGTGTTCAACAGAAAAGTTTTCCACTAAAAAAACACCTGTTAACCAATCATATAGAAGAACCGAGAAAGAAGTTCTTCCAAAGAGTACGTCCGTCAAAGATCAGCTCAAAAACGAAACTGATTTAATTCGTCGTCAAAATGAAAAACACAGAAATTAACACAGTGCTGAAGCGACAGCAGATACCTGTTATCCACATGCGGGGAGTCTATAATATAAATATAATGCAAATGAAACGTCAACCAATTAAAATATTTCAATAATTTTTATCACCATGTTTCTCTTCTATCATCAATAAGTGAATCGTTGATTTCGATCGAAAATAGAAGATTGTTGTTTTTTGTTATTATTCTGCTTGACAACTCTTGAGAGTTTAGCTCTCCGGAATAGTTATGGACAAAAATTTGTTTAGTCATCTAGACGATTTATATGAAGAGTTCTTTCAAATTTCTTCTTACTCCCAGCAACGATTTCGGGAAATAAAGAGTAGTAAAGAGCGTCTCCAGTGAACACAATGTCAACAATGTGATTAAAAACAAATGAAAGATTAAACAATGACGAACGAAGTGCAAGTGTCGTGTCTAGTAGACATGAGTCGGACAATCGCATGCAGCAGATAATGATGATCAAAATTTACACGTGCGCATCATATTTTGGGGAATTATCTATTATTAATTGTAGATAAGCCAATGAATTTATCACAAAATTATCAAAAACACAAAATTATCTTATCGCAAACGAATGCAAGTCTAATGGTTTAAAAACAACGAAAATCCCACTTATCGTAACTATACTGCGTTGCAAACGAGTTTTGTCGCTTCGTTTCGAAATTTACGTTTTAATTGGTTTTCTTTTATTTATAAATTTTATTAACCCATTAAGTGCCAGCCATATTTGAAGATTTTTTCAGACAGAGTTTTCAAGGTAAACATTTTATTAAATTAAATGAAAATAGGCATATAATGGAAGCTACAAACTCAGAAAAAAACTTCTTCACATCAAACCAATACCAAAATATGTTTTCATGAAAAGCTATGAGCTCAATTCGAAAAATTGACTAGTCGGATTTCCGACCAGCGGCAATTAATGGGTCAAGTTGTTTACAACAATCCTCTCATTTTAGCTTGAAACTGAATATTTTAACCTCAATCACATAATTATCGCCCGATTCATACAAACGAAGTCCATATCATTGTTTACTTGTTCAACAGGTGTGCTGGAAAAAAGTCTTAACTGTAATAAATTAATGAACAAATAAAAATATATGATTTTGACGAGCCTCCGAGTCGTCATCAATGTCATAAATATGCACTGAAAAGTTTAAAATAAAAGAATTGAATTGTTGTTTGTTTAGTTTCAAATTGAGTTTATTTCTGATTTGTAAATAGATTATTTGAAATCATTTAAATATCCATTTGCTATGTATCTGTCTTACGGTTTTATCAACTATTTGGTATTAAAAATTATGTCAAAGCAAAGCACTATACCAGTGATGAAGCTTCACAACCAAAATCTAATTCTCATTCGACATCGGATACACTAAACGGAATGATTATTCTTCGAAAGGTGACAATTTGTGGATGAAAAAGAAAAGGTATAAAGCATTGGGATTTCTCATTTTGAAGCACTGGAAGCTTGATCACCGAATCTAAAAGCCGTCGCAGCAAAAAGCCGCATTGAAAAAGAATGAACTAAAAATCAAAAAAATATTGAAAATTTATCCGCTATCTTGAGCTAAAAATGCTAAACTCTTTCTATCTTTGATTTTTCAAACTTATAAATTAAACAACAAATTTAAAGCGATTCATTTGGTTTTATAGCAAAAAACTGCAGAAAAAAATAGCATCAATGGAATTGGCTATTAGTCGAAAAATTTGCATGGCTAAAAAATAAATTCTATTCATTGATGGCCACATTAAGCTAATTAGAACAGTGTGTGTACACGTACAGGCACTATTTAAGTGAATTTTTTAATTTGATGGCTTCTATTCAAAATTTTATCATCGTTTTCTTTGTCTTTCGTTAGAATTCCATGTAGCAAAAAAAAAAATCATCTTTATTCGGATCAGAAATTTCGATTCCGAATTGTATCATAGCATGAAAATAGACATGAAAGCTGTACATGTAAATTGCGCCACAAATAAGGAACTTGCAATGCAGTGTTTTGGAGCTTCATTCTATCTATTTCATGGGAGCTTCAATGCATATTGTATTGGAAATTCTTTTGATTCATCAATAGAGCGCATAAGAAAATATTTAATGAAAATATGCACCTTTTTATATATATCTTTGTTGTTTTAACTATTCAAAATGTTTTGCTTTGGTTTAATTGTTAGGTTTGTTGTTGTTATACGAATGTCTTGTCTCAATTGCATATCAAGGCAAAAGTGCGTGAATTTCTTTTTTTTCATCATATTCTTTATTAAAATCTTAATCTCTTTGCAATTTTTTCGTCAGTTTTAAAAGAGAATCATTGATTTTCGTGATTATTTTTTTTTGCCTGAAAATGGCCAATTCAATGGCAATTTTGTGTGCTAGAACGCAAAAAGAACTTTATCGTATTTTTTGCAATAGCGTCTAACACTACTAGTTATCAAAAAAACCGTCAAGAGGGCGCCAACAGTTCCCCATTGGAATGTCTATAAGAAAGCGAGCTCTCTACGGTAAATTTTGCCATTTTTCAACAAAAAGTGTGCAGTGCTATACGCTGTTGATTTTTTGTCTGTCTTATCGTTAATGAATTTCATTAAATGAAATCAAAGAATTATGCTTTCCGAACTTTGGGCTTTTCTTTCTTATGAAACATTTATTAAATTTGGAATATGAAAATATGTGTAGTTCTGTATGTGTTTATTTTCCGTTGTTGTTGCTAATCGACTGAATGTCTGTTTTTTTTTCTATATCGTTCATGGAATGGCGTTTTTTTTTCTGGAGTTGTCCAAGAGACTGGATGGTAACTTGTCATTTTATTTTCAGTTTCTATTCTGTTTAATATTCTATGTTTCTGTTTGGTCGTTTGAACCAAATTGAAACAAACAAGGCAGACTCATTTTTAATTGACTAACGTGAAAATAGAGAAGAAGTGTTTGCTTTTTCGTTTCACTTCGAATAACTGAAATTATAATTTATTTGTTTCACTTTGAATTGAATCCATAGTCCATTGCTTACGGAAAAAAAGAAAATGAAAACGTGAACAAAGTTAAAAATAAACTGAATGAGTGTGACAATCGAAAGAAAGAAACTATTTCGTTAAGGCCACTTTGACATTTTCAATTCTTTACATTTTTTCATGCATTACGATTTTTCATTGCGATTCAAGCATGAGTCACCTTTTTTTAGTTGTTATTGAAAACAAGCTCCAAAAACTTTGACACAACATTAAACAATCAGGTAAATTTGAAGAGGAAAATATGTGGTCAAACAATGCCCAAAAAAATTGCTTTGTAATTTGATAAAATTCAATATTTGTCTTCACTTCAATTTGTATCTTCTCTCATCGAATCTCGTCTACAATTGTTCTTTTAAACGCTAAATACTCGTAATTGAGTTGACCTACAACGTATCTGTTTAAAACCAATGAATATTTAATATTCTGAATCAAAAGAACAGGAATAGACTCTCTTTTTTTATACAACAAATTAACAAAAACGGAACGAAATTTTTTTTACGATATGAAAAAAAAACAGGATAAAAAAAACTTGCGAGCGCGAAATTTGTACATGTGATCACTTTTTAATCCGTTGAAGGCTACGCTTCTGAAATTATAGAACTCGTTTCTTAATTAATTTTATGATTTTTCAACCGAAAACCCTCTAGATAGGACTAGATTCTGTTCATTTGTCCAACTTAAAAAATAATCGTCAGCTTAATTTGAAAATGAATCAAAAATGGGGGCCATCGAGTAAATCATCGACCGATTCTAATCGTGCTAATGAATCTACTCGACATTTTAAAAATAGTACGTGCATTCGAATCGAATTTCAGCTATAAACAATGGTCATCATTCTGGAGGAATTCGCAATGAACGCAATATCTTACTTGCCTAGGTGAAAAAAGGAAAGAATAAAACTCGATAAAAAAATATCGAATCAAAGAAAAAAATTTAAAAAAATGACATGAAAATTGTGGGTATTTTCTAAAATTGAAGCGTTCTATCTATTGATTCATCTTTGAAATTGAGAAAAACGTGAAAAAATTGTGAAATTTTTTAAACAATAAAAAAATGTATGAATTTAAGAAAAGTTGTGTGAAAAATAAATGAGGAATCATTTCACACTCACCTGGTATTGTTCGTCAGTTTCAAATAAGCCGCGAACAGCAACAATTTGATACTGTTGTGCCCGCATCGCAGTCATATTTCGACGAATCAATCGCAGAGAGTCTCTCGATGAGCCCAGGGCAGCTACTTGTCGTGGACCATGACTTGGATCTAGTACTAAGAGTGTTAAACCAGAAGCTCGTTGTTCAATTCCAATTATCGTTCGCGAATGACCTGGAAATTTGAATCGAAAATTGAATTAAATCGATGGTATACTTGTATTCAATAAACAAATGGAATACAAATTTCTTAAATTAAAAATGAAATAATCAGAAATGAAAAAGATCGCATTAATTCACGTCATTCTGCTTTTAAAAGGTGACGAATTTCGAATATTTGTTTACCTTGATGTTGCAGATATAACGGTGGTTGCTGTTTTTTTTCTTCAAAATATCGTAGCACCCAATCAAACAGTTCAGGATGGCGTCCATCCGAGGTAGTTGGTCGATGAAAGTCCACCAACTGACAGTTTATTCGCAGCGATGAGAGCAACGTTACCACTTCGGTGGCTCCAATCCATTTTCGAGTATTATACAATTTACAGCCAAGTTGTTCTGATCCCTGAAATGAGTCGAACGTTGAACATTTTTGTATGACAAATAACAACAGAAAATTGAAGCTGCTTGCTGAAGAGTTCAATAAAAAAAAATAGTAAAATGGCCTCTCTTGCTCTTACCTGTACATCAAATCCTTGCGCCCAGGCAGCTTCTACTATTTTTTGTAATTTGGATATGCTCGGCATCGCATTGCGCGAGGGTGTGTGTGAACCCCACGCCGCACAAATTGCCGTGTAATATGTTGTGTTCTGAAAGAAGTGGAGAATATGAGTTTTCCCCAATAAATTGTTGAGTTTCAAAAGTGAGCGAGATTTCAAACATGGACAGACTCCAATAAAAACTACCTGAAGTAACGATGAAAGCATCATTTGTAAATTACGGTATCCACAGCCCCATCCTTTGTCACCGTAACTGGATGCATAATGATCGATGCTCGAACAAAGTAGTGTTCGCATCACGCCAGGCGATGAGGCTGATAGCGAAGCGACTCTTGGTATCACCGATTTCGTGCACGATGTATTATCATCGATGCCATGTGATTCGGCCGTTCTCAAGCCGACTTTCCGTTCATAATATTCAGCCACGCTCATTTCACCCGCATACACAGCACTTTGCATTGCGGCGGCCGATTGTTCACGAAAATTTCCTTGATTATCCATCCCATACTGGGCACGCAGCAATTCGAATTCTCGTTGTTCACGTAACTTTTGTGCCTCTTTCTCCAAATCCGGTTCGATTTTGTGGTTCTGTGGACTTTTCGCAAAGTGTTTTTCAATATGCAATTCCATGTCGGCGGTGCTAAAATCGTCTAAGGAAATGCCACAAACCGGACACAAACTTTGAGTCGTTGCTCTGGTTGCGGTTGCCGCACAGCCGTTCGTATCGATGTTGCCGGGACTGAGAATGTCACGATGTTCGATGTTCACATGCAATTCCAAATCGGTTGACGTTTCAAATGTTCGTGAGCAAATTGGGCAAGCGAATGCATTCAGCGTATTTATGTAGGAACTGGGTGACAAATTTACCGATGGACTGAGCGGATCGAAGTGCAAACGATTTATATGCTCTTCAAGCACGGTCGCATCTTCGCATGTGTATGGACAAAGAAAGCACTGAAACAACGAAAATGTTAGAATTGTTCAACTTTAAGTTCAATTATTGCAGGAGATTAAATTACCGTCAAGAGATTTATCGGCTGTTTCACGGATGCGGTTGATGATTTCAAATTCAATCCCAATTGTGATCGAAGTGGTGAACTATGAAATCCATTTGAAAGTTCCGTACCATTGGTTTGATTCTGATTCTCTTTGCCATTACAAAAACCATTCGATTCTTTTCGATTTGCTTGCGATTGCTGTTGCTGTGAATGAGAGAGAGGCTGCGGCGATGCTTTCACACCATTTTGACGGACGTTCGAGATCGATTGATTGCTATAAGTGTTGGAATTCTGTGCAAAGCCGTTGACCTTGTACGAGATATTCGTTGCTGTTTCGTCGATGATCGGTGATTTCATTGGTGATATATCACGAAATTCTGATAATGAGTCCGAATCGCCATCGATGCTGCTCGAGAAAACAAAAGAACGGAATTATTAATGGATTGACACGTTTCCATTAGCACATACACAATGAATTGGAACCATTTTTACCTGGGACTCTGATCGTCGATGAAGCTCATAAGTTCGTTTTCGGGTGAGAGATAGTCTAAATGTGCCTGATTGACGTGTAGCAAAAGTTCAGCGGGTGCAACGCCACTAATGCCGCAAAATGGACAAATGGCACTGCCATCAATGTGACACATCTTCATGTGTTCTCGCATTGTGTCGTCGGTCAAACCAGATTTTCCGCAAATTTCACAGCAATGTTGTTGATGCTGCTGCTGCTGTTGCTGTTGCTGTTGTTTTTGGCCATTTTGCATAAATGAAGAGGTCGACGACGGTTTCTCGGCCATACTCTGAAAATGTAAAAGTAAATCGAAAACTTTCTATTATTGGATGTGTCCATCAACATCGCCAATATTATTCAAACGATTGCAAATTGAATTTAATTTCTAGGGCAACATCAAATTGATGGCCTTTCAATCAATTTTAACAACTGACACTTCACCAATGGATTTCTTCACAGAACAGCTGCAAACTTTTCTCGGAAAACTCAATGGAAAACTTGTGTATTTTGGATGACATTTCGAATTTATGTCATCATTACAAAGACACTCACTTTGGGGTTTCTTTTTTCTGTTGTCGTTCTATATCTACTGCTTATTGACGAAACAAAATGCTTCTTTAATGGAACTTTCTCATGATTTACTTCTTAATTTAATAATAGAAAAACGAAAGAACGAACGAACGAACGAAAGAAAAAAAAAGTCATTGAGTTTCGGAAATGAAAACAGGAAAAAATGCAGTCACACACATTGAATAATGCAATAAAATAGAGCAGCAACAGAGAGCTGAAGTATAAAAAAAAATTCCTTTCACTAATTATTCGTTCTGTACACACAGTGAGAGCTATTTTGTCGGAGGGAAAAAGGAAGAAGAGAAAAAAAAAACAAGTAACTACAGCACGATTTTTTTTTCTTGTTTCCTTATTTTGCTTTTTGACAGTATGAATTTTGCCTTGTGTGTTGTTAATGTGTGTTATTTGTCCTATCGATGAAATATGACCGAAACCATCGCGCGCTCTCTATCTCGATGGCTGTTTTCGACTCACTCTCACTCGCGGCTCAACATTTTTGTGCTCGACAGCGTATTTTCAGTCTTCGTCATATATACTTGAGTCTCTCTGTGTGTTTCGTATTCGAAGGGGAAAAATTTAGCACATGCTATGCGCACTGTCAAATACTCATTTGTCTTCAATTCGTTTGGTCGGTCGTTTGTTCGTTAGTTCGTCTATCCGTGTGCTTTTGCCCATTTTGGCAACCCATTTGGCTTTTGCCACTCAACTATGTGCACATTTAATATATAGCATCGACCGATTTACGAGTGGTTGTCATGCTTGAGCAATGAGCATGCTGCTTTCTTCCGAATTAATGAATGAAAATTGGTCGATTGTGTGTGAAAAACTACTATATCGCATTGCCACTTGCCATCGAACACACCACCAACCCGTACCGTTCGACAACCATGTTCACCAACTCAATCGACTGGTTGGTTTCAGTGTGTGGTGTGGTACGGTGTGAATTGGTTTCTTCCGTGTTTTTTTCGGGCATTTTCCTCTCATTAGCGACACAAGTTGCTGCTGCTGCTGCTGCTGCTGCTGCTTGACAAAACAAACATCCCACCTGTGTGTACAGCACAGCGTACAGTGTACACAACACTCAACAATTCCATATGGATGCATAAATTATGTTTATATATATAATTGGAAACGCACATGGAATTTTGGCGTCAAGCACTACCATTATTAACTCTAACTACCCTTCCGTTTTATATGGTCAACCAACCATCCCTTTCCGTTGAAACTATTTATTTTTATACATTTTTCATGAGCGCCGGCGAGATATTTTTCACCGTGTTCATCAAGCAAATCGATAATCAATTTTTGATTGATTTCTATTTATTCTAAGAATGACATTTTTTGACGGTCATTTTCGTTCATTTAAAATGAATTGAATTTTTTTTAACAGCAATCATTGCTTCTAAAGGTATTAATTGTTATAATCGAAACAAATACAGACGAAAAAATATCGTCAAGGAAATCGTGCATTATGAATAATGTCTTTCAATCGAAAATACTCACACTTGAGAAGAGATGAAGGTCTTCGAGTCAAAGACTTAGACGAACATTTTCAAAATGACATGAATCAAACGAAATGTATTCACTTGAAATGATTCTTTACCAAATAAATTCCAAAACGACGAAACAATATTCTTCTGAACAAAAAATTATTCCAAAGAACAAAAAGTTTTATTCCGAAATCAAACCAAAAGCCATGCACAAAAGTTTGTTTATATTGTGTGCATTGAGACAGTGAATGTCAAATGTTGATCGAAGCGCCAAAAGAAAAAGTCATTGTCGATTTTGACATGTGGAGACTTTTGGTTCGTGTAGACTCACTCACGCAAGCATGTGCATTTTGATGTTTCATCTGTCAATAACATAAAAACACATTGTGAGTTTTACACACCGGATTCTATTCACGTTGAATAAAAAGAAATTATTTTAAAAATTAGTTGCGAATCGTTGTGTCTAAAAATGTCGAAAAGTGATAGTGATGATGAGCCAATGTCCACTGAGCCCGTGGACAATGCTTGGTCGTTGAAATTGCCCGAGTTTAAGCAGGAACACAATCCGAATGGTTTGTTGGAAGAGAGCTCATTTGCCACATTGTTTCCGAAGTATCGCGAAAAATACCTGAAGGAATATTGGCCGTTGGTGCAAAAAACACTGGCCGAGCATTTCATCAAAGCTGAACTGGATTTGATCGAAGGTAGCATGTCAGTGAAAACGACAAGAAAGACATGGGATCCGTATATTATTATCAAAGCAAAAGATATGATTAAATTAATGGCTCGGTCGGTGCCTTATGAGCAGGCAAAACGTGTGTTGGAAGATGAAATCGGTTGTGATATCATCAAAATTGGCAATTTGGTGTCGAAAAAGGAGAAATTCGTAAAACGTCGTCAACGGTTGATTGGTCCAAACGGAGCCACATTGAAATCGATTGAATTGTTGACCGATTGCTATGTTTTGGTACAAGGAACCACCGTGTCCGCACTCGGTCCATATAGAGGCCTGCAGCAAGTGCGTCAAATCGTTATTGATACCATGGAAAATGTGCATCCAATTTACAATATCAAAGCACTGATGATCAAACGGGAGCTGGCCAAAGATCCAATGCTAAAGGATGAAGATTGGTCTCGATTTTTACCCAAATTCAAGAATAAGAACATTAGCAAACGCAAACAACCGAAAGTTAGGAAGGTTAAAAAGGAATACACACCATTCCCGCCGCCAATGCCGCTTAGCAAAATCGATATGCAGATGGAATCCGGAGAGTTCTTCCTCAAGGAGCATGAGAAGAAAGCCAAACAAAATAAAGAGCGACGACAGAAACAAGCCGAAGCGGCTAAAGCACAAACCGAACGCAGAAACAAAGACTTTATTGCACCGGATGAATCAATGCCATCGACCAGCAAAGCAACTGCCACCTCGATTGATGTTAAATCACTTAAAGCGAAAATTAAAAAGGCCACGAAAAATAAATAAGTTTTTAGTGTTTAATCATATCTCTGTAACTACTTTTTTCGTATAAAGAAAATCTATTGAAAATTTTGAGAAATAATAAAAAAAAAATCGCAGCATTTTTTTTTTCTTGATAACGGATTTGTTTGAAACATTTTTGTTCGTTTTTTCAGCATTACTGTTTTTTTTAGGTATTATCGGATTGGGATGTGTCACAAATTTGGATAATTTGCGGAATCAAAATTTAACTATTGAAATGCGATTTTCTTCAACTCATTTTCAATTTTTTTGTCGTCGCATCAAAAAAGGCGTAAAAAACCAAAACTTTCATTGCTTCAGAGAAAAGATTAGCATTAAATCGGATTATCTTTTGAAAATATTCAGTGGTGGCCAAATTTATTACACGTATTTACCTCTCTTCGACTTCAAGTGTAAGCTGAAGAATCTCGAAATTCTTGAGAACAAAGGACTTTTTTACTTTGAACAAGTGTTAGAAGTGTACAATTTTGTTCTTACAGCCAACAGATGGTGTTCGGCCAGTAACAAATTACCTGTTTTTAGATCAATCATGCATTTTTGAATAATTATATAAATACTTGCCAAATATTATTGAAATCAGTTACCGTTCAACATTCGTTTGTTGCGCTTCGCATTTTCAAGACAAGAATTTAAAAGACATTTTTGGAGAAAAAATATAAAAAAATATATTTTTCTTTTTACAAAGATAGCGTTTCTTTCTATAATTTGGTCAAATATTTTAATTTCGACGATTTTTTGTGTTTTTACTAGAATAAAATTATCTAGTGAGAGACTAAAATTGCCAGCCCATCCTTTGTCGCTTGTAGAAAAAATCGGAATTTTGACAATGGCCGAAAATCGAATAGTAGAAGCCATGCAAGAGCTAGTTGATCCATTGAAAATAACGGACCTGAATATCGATTGTCTCGGTCTTATATTTGACTATTTGACTTTGGATGATTTTTTCAGTGTAGCTCATACGAATAAGTACTTGCAGTGTGCAGTCCAAATGGCATTCGCCACAAGATTTAGCAAGAAGTTTGTCCAAATATGTGGATTGAAGCTATCATGTGAACGGCACGTTGTTGTTGACGAAGAGGTTGTAGTTCGCGATTTATGGAGTTGTTTGCAACTACTGCGATGCTTTGGCCACTGGATTCACAAAATAAAAATAGGCAATTTGACGGATACTAAATATGAGCTAATTGCTGTGTACCTGAATGAATATTGTATCAATTCGCTAACTGAAGTGTATGTTCACGCAATTCCAATCAGTGCATCGAAGCTGCTACAGCCATTCAAAAACGTTGGAACACTTTTTATGTGGGATTCTCACATGGATGGAGTCAACTTACATGAGATATTTCCACGGTTGAAGACCTTATGCTATCGTGGCTATGACTATGTGGCTTTAGAAAATCACTTTACCAGCTTGGAAACGTTGGACATTCTGGCGGACTGGAAAGAAGAAAGCGATTCAGATAAGGCAAGTATTGGAACGGCTTTGCGAATGAATCCACAGCTAAGATCTTTGAAGGCACCATGTAATCCAGACGCACGATTCGTTAAGATTGTATCCGAAAATTTACAACAACTTCAAAACTTCGACATTACATGCAATCAAAGGGACATTGTAGACTACGATACGATGTCGTTTCATTTCGAAAAATTGAAAAAATTAAACTTCAAACTGACTATGGATGGTTTACAACGAGTTCCATTGCCAAACAATCCCAAGCCAAAAATTCCATTCACATTTGTTCAACTCGAAGAACTTGTATCGATGGGACTGTCATTCAACGATGAGTTTTTCGAATTTCTTGCCGAAAATCCGTCGATTTTGAAATTAACATTTTTGAAACCATCATATCCGAGTAAATTAAACATCTCAGAACTGGTCAAAGCACTTCCAATGCTCAACGAAGTCACATTCAAATTTTGCCTGCCGAACGTTCAAATCCGGGAAACCATTTGCTGCATGGAAGAAATCAAATCGTTGAAACGGTGCATTTTTCTCATTTATTTTGACAAAGGTAAAAATCCATTGAAGTGTTTAGGTAGCCAGTGGAATATATCCATTTACGAATATCTTTTGGATATCAAGAAAATTGTTTTAGAGCGCAGAATTTGAAAAGTATTGAACAAATTGAAAAAAGGAAAAATTGAAAAATTTGGGGCCAATTTCTGAAAACACCAGTTGAAAATCTGTTGAACGAAAAAATGTGCTTCATTTCATGACAATGACATAGCTTTATTGATAGCTCATCAAAATGTCTGTAACGATTCTATTTTATGGAAACATGTACCGAAAATAACGAAAAATATGAAAGAAAAAAAATTCTTACTCCAATTTTGTAAACTTCCCCCTTTTGAAATGATAATAAAAAAGATTCGAATGAAAATGCCGTTTGTTTTGTTTGCTACAATTTATTTATGGGATTCGATTCGATATAATTTTATCGTGTACATTTTAAATGCGATGTTGCAGTTTATGTGTGGAATGACGTAGTCATTAAACTTTGCATAAATTTCATTATCTTGTTATTTATTTTCTGTCCTGTTAGTAAAAATGTGGGTATGACATCGATTTTGTTTCAGTAGTCCAAAAATGTGTGTCGATGTTCAGATCTGGAATTTTTTTCGATTTTAAGATGAAGATTGGAATCAGAGATGAAGATTTAAAGATACAAAAATTCGTTTTTCAAGGGAGAAATGTTTATTTTCTCCAAACAAATTATCATTTCCATCAGGAAAATCAAATTCTTCAGAAATTTTTTTCGAAGAAAATCCATTTTTGTGGGAAAAAGTCTATTATTCGGAAAAGGTCTATTTCTATCGAAGGAAAAATATTCTTGTTTTCGCAAAAAGGTGACATTTTTATCGTTGAAGCCGAATTCGAACAAATCGACGACATTTTTGAAGATGCTGAAACCGCTCGAATTTGCTAGAAAATTATAAATTCTTATTTCACACAATTTATGCACATAAGCAAAACAAGTTGTCTTTCTTTGTGAATGTTAAAACTAATCTTAAACAGAAAATTCAGTCTGATTTAGTGATTTTACAGACTAATTGATCGTTTTAAACGTATGTTTTTTTTTACAATTTGTTTTTTTTTATTAAACATTTTCTCTCTGTGTAATGAAACTATGTAAAAAAATTCAACAAAAATTGGAATAACTAGATTGTGAACAATTCAAAACAAATAAATTCAATCAATTGTTTCTTTTAAATATGTAGAGTGTAGGGTTTAAGCTTAAATTTTACATAGATAAAGTATTCAATTTGTTTACATATAATTTGTTCTTAGAAGATACTCCTACAAAACAGTTGACGCGTTTAATTTTCTCATTTCTTATCATTTATAGTACAGTTGTATAAATAATTCAATGTTTTTTTTTGTCTGTGTTTTTATTCATTATTTACAAGACATTGTTTTAGTTCCGTCATAGAGTCATTCATTTTTTTTTTTTTTTATAAGAATACAATTTGAATGTTGATCAAATTGGAAATGATTCACTGTTTCTCTTAGCAATATTCTTGGTTCTCAAGAGTCTTGACCTCTGCTGAAGGTAAAGCGAGTAAATGAGAGAAACCAAACTGTGGTAAAATGAAATGCTTGTGTTTAAGGCGTGTGAAGTTTAATTAACCTCAATGTTGTATCGGAGTGAATCCGAAAAAAAATTTATTGGATTCAACGAGTGAGAGAGGGAGATTAATCACTTTGTTTCTATTCGGTGTGATAAATTCACAGCTGAAATAATTCATGTGTAATGTAGATACGGGCATTTCCAATCGATTCATATTAAAAGCTATCTCTTGTTTTGTGTAATTTCAATTGTATTTCCGCCCAAATTCACCTGTCTACACGATTCACCATTATCCGTTTGCCGTATACGGGCACCAGATAGATTTGATGTATGTGTGCCCAGCTCAAACTGGTCAACGGCCAGCGTAATGCAAATGCCAGCGTAAATGCAAATATAAAATTAAGTTGCCTGAATTTGAAACTGGACGAATCGAATGGGGGAAGGGAGAGTTTGCTTAATGACATCAATTCCGGAACGGAAATTAATCAGATTCCAACCAGTAATTCGAATAGCGTTTGACGATCGAACGTTGAATTTGCTCCAAGGCGAAACGCGTCTGAACAAAGCCATATCAACAGAGAAAAGCGTAATAGTTCGAAATACTTTTATCCTTTTCTCTGTCTTTTTGTATGAAAGTATGACAGAGATTTTGGCGATGACATACAATGTATTCGCTCGCACTAAAGACAGCTAGTACGTGAACGAGATTAGACAGCAGTTAATGCGAGGTGGACACAATTTGACACCGCCAATACTTTGCGAGAATCTCAGCCGTTCTATGAGTAACACCATTTGTTGTCTGGTCTGTTGAGAGTCAGAGTTTGACGGTAATTGGATGCTAACCATTTGCATTTACTTTTTGAAATTTTACAGTTCGTTTGACATTCACATCAAACCATTTTGCTCTGGCTATCAAAGTCTGAAAAATACCAAGCCCAATACACAAACGAGTGTATTCATAAACAAACAAGAGATAATAATCATCATAATTTATTGAATTGTCTTTAAAAATGTTCTCCTATTGTGGTTTGTGTGCCGAGCAAGTCGAATCCATGAGCTTTTCAACAGAAAATACTTTCAAACTCATGATGGCTGGATTCCGCGAAAATGGGGGAAAATGTGATTGTGAGATAGATGAATTGATGGTAATCCATAACCACCATTTTGATATAATTCACTTCGTTTACAATTGCTATACTCATTTTAAACGTTCACTTAGAAATGTACGATAATATTTAGACTCAATTTAACATAAAAATCGATGGTCGTTGTTGCTGTTGTGATAGCACGACAGCATTTCACTCGATTTTAAAATTGTTTCCTTTTTATCTAATTGTGACAACGTAAAATTGGATTTTACTATGTTGTTGACCAGGTTTCGTGTAAAAAAATAAATCAAATTATAAAAAATATATTGAAAAATTGAAGAAAAAAATTTGCTTGATTGACCAGTATCGAAGTCAATATGCAGCATAATGACTGACCAAATGGAATGCTTACAAAACAAAAACACTCTAGTGTTTGCTTTGCATGAAATCTGTGTGTTAAGCGGCAATTTGATGCGCAAATTCAAAACAACATGTAGAAAAACAAAAACAATATTCCTAATCACAATTGAGCCTAATCTTCGTAGTCTTCTTAGACGGTAGACAATAATTAATCAGATCGCATGCATCAATTTATCGAAAATGATGCTTCTTCTCTTCTTCTTTTTCTCATTTATTCACGCAACAAGGGCTTCTAAGCTCTGTTTTAGTAAATGTGTACATTATAATTTTCTATCGGTTGCTTTTGTCCCTAATTCAATTATATCATTTTGTATCTGTTCACGAGTGTTTATTCACAAAGCGCCAGTACTGTGTATCGAGGCCCGAATTGCATGCTTCGGCCGTAATGCCACGCTCCTGTACGTACCGCGTATCGAGGCAAACATTTGATTTGCTATGCTTTAACAGGCCACCATCACGCAATTCCCATCGTTGATTATCACTTTCGTCACACACACGCATTATCACAATGGAGCCCTTGGCATACGAAACCATTGTCAAGCAGAGATCATGGTGTTTGATCTGACCTTTCTTTGTAATTGTCCATTCTTGATTACCGCCAGTATCGTGGCATTGATAGACTCCTGCGTAGTTGTTGTTGTTTTTTTTTCGTTTGGGGTTGGGGAAATGAGAAAAGAAAATGCGATTAGTCTCAGTTAGATTTTAGCACGAAAAATCGAAATCAACAGTAAAATGAGTTACATACCAACTGAACCGTCCATTAGGTGGCCAAGTGTATCTAAACAGTAGATTCCTTGTCGTAATGTGCCCACGGATAGCATTTCAGGTACGGCCAATTGCGGGTAAACATTCTCCAAATACCATTTGAATGGCTTGCAATGTAGGCGTTTCCGTAATTCCAATCGATCGTCAATACTGTTGTTTCGTACAAAAGACGCAGCAAAAAAAAAATCAAATGGCATTGAGCATTGAATTCGATAGATTAAATTGACAAAGAGTATGAAAAGTCTTCGACATTGACGAAAAATTCTCAGTAAAAAAGAACCCTTTCTTTGTTTGCTCAACTTACTTTCCGAATGGAATGTTTTTGGCCAATGGCACGGCTGCATAGTAGTACTGTTTGTAATCATCCATCCACACTTCGGCTGCACGTCGTGTGTTTTTCGCAAACACATTGCCACTTCCGCCAGGGAATGTGTACGGATGTCGCTTACGGAACACATGCCCAACTCTACTGCACGGTATGATCTCCAAGCTGCCTCCGCATTGCCAAACACGAAACGAAATCTCTAGATTTTCGCCGCCTATTCAATTTTCGAACAAAAGAATTTCGCAAATGAGCATGAAAAAAGTTTTCTCATTATTTGCAACACATAAAAACAAGTTTGTTTTTTGTTGTTGACCAAGAGCTATTCTTGGGAAGAAAAAAAAAATCAGAAATTTGTATAGAAAAAGAGAATTACCCCAAACATCCATTTTCATATCATATTTTCCTAATTTTTCGAAATATTTCTTATTTATAACAAAGAGACCGCCAGCAATCATTGGCGTTTCAATGGCAGTGGTTGGATCTTTGTGTCGTTCAGCTCGCTCTTCTGTGCTCAAGTATTCCCACTTGAATACCTGTTTGAGAAAAAAAAGAGAGAATACAATCATAGTTGATTTGATTCGACGTGTTATTTAAGACTCTGAATACAATTTTCGCATTGATTCTTACCAAATTCCAATCAAAACCACCACGAAGATCCGCTTTTGAAAAAATGTATTTAAAAACACAAAAAAATGAAAATTATAAAATAACAATTAATATTATAAGGTTTTATTAATATTTGTACCTGATGCACCAATGTATTGAAACGTATCCATGCTGATGACATCAATTACTGGACACACGACACTGTTTCAAAGGGGAATGTTTTTTTTATCGAATTATTTTATATTTTTTTTGCTTAATTTGAAAGAAAAACGTGATGAATTTGTTCCTTGTGAACGAATCAAATGATGAATGTGTACAAAAAATGATGAATTTGTAACAAAACTGATGAATCGACTTAAAAAAAAAACAAGAAATTTGCTCAGGAAAAACTGATATGCTTGCTCGTTCGAAAAAATATCGATTTTCCTTACCGTGTTTCATCTTCAGCAACACGTTCGAGAAGCGGCTCTAGCCAGTCTTCGTTGCATTCACAATGGCTGTCCAGAAATGTGAGTACATCAGCAATGGCAGCGTCAGCACCACGCACTCGTGAACGCACCAAACCTTCGCGTTTTTCATTCCGAATGATACGAACTTTGTTGATTTTCGCCAATTCCAAACCATCCTCAGCTGCAAAAAAAAATGATGAGATTCATGAGAAATGAAATCCGAAACGATCCGAGATTGGAAAAAATGCCATGTCATTATGTGCAAATTTTTCCGTTCGACTTAATTTCTATAGGTCAGATTGTGTGTTTTTTTCCGCGCCGATTGACATGTAAATATTGTGCTGTTGACGCGCCGCGTAACAACTGTTGACCAGATGCATGATAAATTCACTTGAATTAATTTATTTCATCAAAAAGCATTCAATTTATAACCAAGAGTTGTTGTGTTTGGTTCGCTTCGTTTCGTTTATACATTTTCGTTCAGTCTGATGGATATGAAAAGCGACAAAGCACGCCGAACAAAACACAACAAATTATTCATAAATAATAAATTCAGTTGAGAAGTTACTTTGCAAAGAAGTCGAATATAACATAATAATTTGTCTGTGTGCATTTTGTGGAACTGGGGGAATGTGACCACTGCCACGATTTTGCGATTAAAAATGCAGAGCATCTGCGGCACAAAAACAAACATGTCGGTCTGATATTGAAATTGGGAAGTTCTAAGTCGAAGCGACAGCATTTGCATTAAACTGTGTGTAAATTTCGATAGAACGGAAGCTCAAACAGAAAATTGGCGGAAAATTCCGAGCAAGCCCTTTTGCATTTTTATGAAGCCTACTAAAAAGTAACATCAGGCCACGACTCCACCGATTTTGGTTAAGCCAGTAACAAGTGCACGCGATACGAAACGAGTTACTTGGTGTTTCTCCTCTCTTTTTATTATCCCTTGACTCGTAATATCTTTGGGTCATCGTGTTACATAAATCCAATTGAAAACTTTGGTAACTGTGTGTATTAATATTTACAGCATACATATTACTTGTTCATGACCACATCCCTTTTGGATTGACAACATCAAGGGAAAGTAGCCTGCTTTTATGATCGATAACGATGATTTTTAAGACGGAATGAGAGTGGCACGGGGGGTGAGAAGATTTCAAATGAAATTGGATAGAAAATCAACCATTCGGCTTTTGCGTCACTCTTCCGTTTTTTTATCTCTTCTACTTCTTCTTCAAAAATCGCATAAAAATCTGATTCAAATCATAAAGCAGCTGAACATGAATGGAAATGGGCCATGGATCCAGCAATAGCATAGTCAAGCCGTTAAAACGAACTCGGTTCTTATGTCATTCTTTGCAATGTCGCATTTGTAGCAGTGGCTCTTTTATGGCTGTGTGTTCCCTTTATGGGTATTGTCACGAAAACTCTCTCTTTATTGTCAGTGAAATAAAGAAATATTTTCAGTTTTATTCGCCACGTTCTGAGTCAATCTTTGAAATCACGTCATTCCATGTAAACGTCAATCACTCTCGCCTGGAGAGACTCCCGATGGGATTAGAATGAGACCGTTTCTCTCCAATGACAATATTAATTAAAATAACTTTTCGCAACACATAAATGAGTCAATATACTTACGATGATCACTGAAGTCATCCACCAGAATGATTTCTTTGATTAGATGCTCTGGACTACGATTTAAAACGCTGCATGGGAGAGAAAAACAAAACGGTTAGTCACAAATGTTGCAGAAAGTAGTTAAGTTGTCTATGATTTTAAATGCATTGGAAAAGTTTCTCTGTCGGTGGCGCATCGGTTTTTATGACCGATATTTTTGCATGCCAACAATGATGATTTGGTGATGTTGACGGCGACAACATTGTGTCATCGCTTGATGCGGATGAGTTAAAGTGTGCGATAAAAATGGAATTGTGTCAAAATGTGCACAAATTTGCATTCAATTTTCATATTTAATCAAGCAAATGAACGGTAAGTAATATTTTTCTTGTTGGACGCTTGATGCAGCGCACTGTCATAATTTGCAATGGAAATGAACACGAAAAAAAAACAAATCGGATAATATTCGGGTGCAGTGTACAAGTACGTCGATAACAATGGAATTTGATGGGACTCGTAAAGCAGAGCGGAGAATGGCGACAATGACAAACATCCATTGTGTGCTGGGCGACAATAAAATGAAATGCCATTAAACGACAGAGAAAATTTATTCAAAGAAAAATGAGATTAAATGCTCGCAATATTTCGGTTTTAATTCCACTCCCGCTGTCACAATTCTCTCTGTTTCTCTTTCTCTCTCTTTCTCTCACTTTTTCTCTTCCTGGATTTCGTGCCATGTCGCATGTGTTACATTTTGCACTATACAAATGAATAAATGCGTAATATTCATTTTGCAGCTAACTATTGACAAATTAGTGATATAAATGAGTTGTTAAGCTTGTGAGTGCCTGCAACTTTTCCAACAATGTGTACCACATTGCACATGGAGTCGAACAGCATGCGATTTGGTTGAACATTTTGTCGCCTCGAATTGTACAATGCAAATTTATCACATTGTTTTCCACAACTTTAATTACAATATTCAAAATATAGTCAAATATGTGATTTGAATGAATGGTCGCCACCATTGCCGTTGTTTGGTTGCATAACTGTCAAAAATGGATAAGCATTTGTTTTGTGAAAAACCCACCACCACGAATACAATGCAAATTCTATGGTGGAACAGAATGCGCGTAAAACATTTTTACTCGGAAAATTTCCTGTTGCTGCATTAATCATAGAATAAAACCCACATTTTTATTGCGCTCAACAGTAATTTCCGCTCGCTATTAAATATATTAAATGAACCATCAAAATAAGGATTCATAAAAGATAAACCGAAAAAACGGCGAATTATTTTATTATTTTCGCGAGTTGAATTTATCTCGTAGCCGAAATGCCACTTACGCATTAATGAACGCCAAAAGAGAAAAAATTGCACGAAGAAAGAAAATTCAAACTGCGAGTATTATTTGGCCCAAGTCATAAACCCATTTTGAGTTATATGCCCGAATTCGGAAGAAATAAACATACCGAATTTATTGCGTGGTGAAGAAGCCAGATTTACGCAAGGCAATTACTATTTTGCTCTAGATAAATCTTAAAAAATTGTTTCAGAACATCACAATTTTTTTTTGTCGGCACGGCGATGTGAATTTAAACGCAAGAGATAATGTACGCATTGGTGAACGTAGCCAGGTGAAGTTGAAGAAAGAATAAAACGAATTTAATGAGAGATAAAAGGAGCACCAGAAAGCAAGAGAGATGAGGGAGACAGACAAAGTCGAAAAAAGGCATTTTCGAATTTAAATCGAGCCCTGACTTCCATTGTTAACGGCTATAGCGGCGAAAGAGTGAACGAATAATCGCAGATAATAGCAATTGTCTTGACTTCTTCTTCTTTTTTGTCAAGCAAACTAAAGGGGCAATGCTAAATTTTTTAAAGTTCTTTCATAACTATCGATTGTTCTTTCGCTGAGATTTTCTCTGTCGTTTAATTTCGCATTGACCTCACTCGCACAGAGATTGAGATTGATGTAATTACTTCATTTATGCGGCCGCTGGAGAAAGTCAAACAAAAAGTTCACTTTACTTACCTAACTATTGTTCGCAATAGGGTGGATCGAGCTTCATTGTGGAAGGTGATGATGACGCTAGTCGGTGGTAGATCCTTTCGACGATAAAGCTTCTTACGGCACCTGCGATAGAAAATAAATGAAAAATGCAAAAGATTTTAGTAAATCGACCCAAATCAATTTGAAAAATGCATGTTTATCGTGAAAAATCTGTTGTCGAATCACAATGAATACCAATTTGAGCCCAATGAATATTTTTAGCGAATACAATATCAGCTGTTCGCATAAACGAAATTCATTACGTTCATGGCCACGTCGAGAGAAGAAAATGTACGCAATAAATTATGATTATTTTCTCTGGATTTTCCATTCAACGGTCCCCATTGAGCCATTTCAATAAATTCGAACTGTGGGGATGGCGCTCGCTTTGGTACCTTCCACTTTTGTTCCAGGCATTGTGTTGATGTAGCTCATCACCGCATTGAAAAGATAAATGATTCTAATTACACGAGCAAATAACAGACAGCGAGCGAACGAATGAGCTCACCATGTTTTCAAGACTAAGTCAATAGCCACCCAGCACATATTTCCACCATTCAATGAATGATATGGTTCGATTTTTCGAAAGCCAATCGAAACATTAAAACGATGAACTTCCCTCGGATTTGGCCACGATTTACGACAACGCAAAACCAAAATCAATAATTTCCAACAACACAATGAAGCGGCCAATAATGGAAAAAAATTGACTGACGTGTCAATGGGCGCATCAATGCCAATCGATAGATCACATCAAGCAACGCCAATCGTTTGGAATATGCTCAAGATAAATTGGACCATTTGTAATTTAATAAAAGAGATTATTTTTCTTTTAAACGAACAATTTTCTTCTTGTGATGGTCAGACAATGACAATAAACGAACGTTGGGCGTAGCCTACGCTCTGATGAATTTGTTTGTTTACATCACGCCTCCGGCCCATTACAAGCCGCTTGTATGCCAAATTATATCATGAAATAGCATATCAAAAGCATTTTTTTCTGGATGAACGAAATTGTAATTCGATTTTAGTTGGATTTGATGAGCATTCACGTTGACAGTCAAAACAAAATCGAAAGCCCATGCGATTGTGATGGCCACGCCATAATCATTTCCATGGAAAATTCCTTCTATGCATAGAATTTCGAACATTTTGATGGCATGAACACGCAATGAATGCTTTTTGTTGGTTTAAAATCAAATTTTACCCATACCAATTGAACTCACCGTTTAAAATCACTCACATGAGCTTTGACTACTTCGATTTTGTAGTACAAAACACGCCAATCAATGCCATGTTTGATGCAATCGTCAAAAAAAATCGGCCCTCGAGCTAAATTTTCTGATATTGGCTCGTAGTTTGCGGCACCGATTCATTTCCGAACGAAAAAACGCCATTTCCAAAACACACTTTGATTCAATGGAACGTAGTTTGACTCCGAGCGATTTATTCGTCATTAATCGACTTGTTCTGACACGACATGCCGTGATTAACAAAAAAACGCGTGTGAAACTGCGATTATTATGCCCGGTGTTCCGAAGACGAACATGAATTCAACAATCAGTTCAATAGATTCCACAACGGAAACGTGTCGCTTTCGAGCGAACGCCGTGTGACCAGTTTAATTAACTTTCGTTCATTTGCCGGTTGTTTAATTGAAAATTAATTAAAATGCCGAAAAAAGGGCGAAATTGATGCCGTGGCCGAATGCGGCCCCAAAAACGGCGTTGTAGTTGCGAATAGACGCGCGGCCATGCTTTATTAACAAAAAACTGATTCGCCGCAAGAAAATTGAAATTTATTTCGTCAGACCGCACAGAACAATCCCTCAAACGCAAACACATACACACTCAGCATGCGACCACATCGAACTGGCGAACATTATCACGTGAATTATTTATGATGATTTGGCTGGCGAACAATGGCAAACCCGGCCCGAGCACTTATGACAGGTTGACGATGCTGAAATTTCACTGCACTTTTGTTTGCACACATCGTTTCCGTTGGTTTTTGGCACAAATCACCGAATGTATGCTGATTACACTTTGCATACATGTCCAGTTTGACAACGAAACACATTTCCTTGTGCTGACTGTGTGTACAATTGCAACCGCACGTTTTGTCAGCATTTTGGCAAATGAACGATTGTTTCGTCGACCGCGTGCATTGATTGACAGCACATCGAAAGAACGAGAACAAGTGCTGTTGTCACAAATTCACACGCACACAACGCCTCGTCTTTCTCTCGCTTGCTCCACTCGGTTGTGTGACTGTGTACACAAACCCAACTAATTCATGCAAGCACTCTGCATACAGCCGATTTTGATTCGCCCGAATAAAAACATTCGGCTGTTTTATGCAAACAAATTCACATTTTTTTTCGGGTTTTCGTTTATGTATTTATGGCAAAAAACAACGATTGGAATTTTTGAACGAATTTTTTTTTACAAACAAGAAAAGATGAAGCGGTGTAAAAAGTCAATCGCTCAATCGAATTGTTCCGCGATACGAAATTCGGGCAAAGTCAACAGCACCACTGAACTAAAGCGGTGAAAATGTGCAAACGTGTCGTTCTGTGTTTCCGATGCGATAACGAGAGCAACGACAACGAAGCTGCTTGACTCGGCGACGAATACCAAATGCACAGAACGCTATCGGCTAGAGCCTAAGAATGGTGTTTTTTTTATAAGCGATTACTTGAATAGAATTTCGGCAGCATTATTTCGATATGTTTTCATTTTAACCGAGTCAATTTTTGGGTTGTTTTAAACGTTTTGTTTGTAAAAGTTTGCTAGTTGCATTGTTATTTAGTTTTTAGAGAGAATTTTTTTTATTGAAAGTGTATAAATTGAAAAAAAAATGGCTAAGTCGAAAGAGTTTGACAAAAAAGCGTATGCTGCTGAAATCGAAGGTGAAATGCAAGAGCATGAAGCATATGGTGATCCCGAGTGAGTATTTTTCGATTTTTCTGACCATTTCCGCATTTTTCTTGTACAATTGTTCGGAACAACGATTTTTCTGTAGAAAAAATGAAAAATTCCATTAAAAAATGTCGTTGTCATTGCAATTCATTCAGACCAAGTCATCACATTTGAGGTTAGGGCTTTGTTTGCTCACAATTCGAGTTTCATTGGCAATTTTTGTGAGATTCTAACAGATTTTTCGTACAAAAGAAAACGTTTTTCTTGAATATCGAACCATTTTCTTGAATGTCAAATGTTTTTCATCATTCTGATAAGAAAAAAATCGTCGGTGCTTCAAATATCAGCATTTTATACAGTCGATGGTCATTCACTGCATTTTAGTTTATGGAATCAGGGAATAAACGAAGTATTTCAGCATAATTCAATTTTTGTGGCATATTTCGTATGATTTGAAGAGATTTTGAGCCATTCTTTCTCAATCTGATGAGAAAATAGTCAGAATAGTCACATTTTGTACATTCTGTTCATCGAATATTCAATCGTAGCTTTGGGTTAGGTCATTTGTTCACCAATCGATTGCAAACATTTCGATATTTCCAATGCAAATGAAAAAAGCAGCAAACAGCATATGGTTGGAATAGATGTAGTCAAGCAAAAAAGTCAATTGTTTTCGTTTTCCGTGTGACAAATGAGCGTCTTCATCAAAATGTCTTGTGTCGTTTTTTTCCGCAGCTACAAATGGAGTACGGATGATTTCGAGCTCGGTGCCGCATTGGGTCGAGGAAAATTTGGTCGTGTATTTGTGGCACGTGAAAAAAAGACGCATTACATGGTAGCGATGAAAGTGCTTTTCAAGTCGGAGATTATGAAAGGTCGCTGTGAACGGCAAATTGCTCACGAAATCGAAATTCAATCTCGCTTACGGTACGTATTCATCCCCATTTTTCGCCATCAATCGTTTGCACATTGACAAGGCGAATTTGCATCAAATCAAATCAAATCACCAAATCGATTTGCTATGAAATTGATTTTCGATTGTCTTTTCAGTCATCCGAATATTCTGCGTTTGTACACATGGTTCTATGACGAGCGACGAATCTATCTGGCACTCGAGTTGGCAACCGAAGGCGAACTGTATCGTCATTTGCAAATGTCGCCGAATGGACGATTCTCGGAGGCTCGTTCTGGTCGTTATACGTATCAAGTGGCTGCGGCACTTCATTACTGTCATCTGAGCAATGTCATTCATCGCGATTTGAAGCCGGAAAATTTGCTGCTGTCGGTCGATGATCAGGTGAAATTATCCGATTTTGGATGGTCGGTACACACAACATCAAGCGCCCGGAAAACAATGTGCGGCACATTGGATTATTTGCCACCCGAAATGTAGGTGTCAACACTTTCGAATCCAAATGTTTCGAATGCAAATCTTCGGCATATTTTTTTCTAATTTTTCTGAATGTTTTGTGTGTGTGTGTCAGGGTTGATGGTCAAACGTATGACGACTCAGTCGATCAATGGTGTCTTGGAATTTTGTGCTACGAGTTCCTGGTTGGAAAACCACCATTCGAATCCAACGAACAGCAGGCCACATACGAAAAGATTCGTGCTCTCGACATCGAGTATCCATCGTACGTTTCGATTGGTGCAAAGGATTTGGTGTCAGGGGTATGTTGAAATGAAAACCAAATCAAACTCATTTTATAAAGTATTGAGTAATGATCATTTTTTTTTGTTTGATTTATTTTCAGTTGTTGCGTAAACGGGGTCGTTCAACTCTAGTGGAAGTCATGCAACATCCATGGGTTAAACTGTACAAAGACTGTGATTGGAAACGTAAATAGTTCAAATGTAGTAGCTAACACTAAATGGTCAATTCAAACTCATTTCGTGAGAGATTTCTACTCATTACGGGAATTGACCATTTAGTGTTTGATTTGTTGGAATCGAGTAAAGTTCGATTGGGGAAAAGGCTAGAGCCACCCAACGTTTAATTTAAATTGTTTATTATTCCGATTTGGATTTATTGGTTTCTGCATCGCAGGTTTATGTAAAACTCTGAAAAAATTGTCAATATAAAACGAGCCAAGAGGCCGTAAAATAAATAAAGAGCACTTTTAAATTTGCAAAGTAAAAACTTGGTCTTTTTTATGTGTTTTTAATGCGATTCACTGAAAATAAACATTCCAAGAGTTTTTCTTTCTTTAGCTTTGGCTCTTGATGTCTTTTTCCACTATGCTCGAAGAATTGCTCGTGGCTTAAGCACCATTTTTCGTTGCGATTGGTAAGTAAGTGACTTGATGGCAACTGTTAACGTTTAATAGCCGCGGCGGAGTGCAATTAAAGCGTACGGAGGCGACAGTAATTCATTTTATCGTCAATGAACAGACATAAACACGCCTATAAATAAGCCGAGCGAAACCATAATTCACTCGGTTCGATTCGAAGATTCTTTGGAGAGAGTTTATCCTGGCAAAGATTTGGCCCATTTTAAGCTGCACATAAATAAAGACCGCTTCATAATCAAGCCATCAAAGTCTGGATTTATTGTTTTACGTTCAATAAAATCTGTCATTCCATCGTTTCAGTCTCACTTCACCTGCTCCAAATTGGCTTTTGCTACATGGCTTTCCGAAAAGAGACGATTCAAAGACTTTACCAAAGAGTTTTAGTTGTCTGAGCAACCAGATTTGATTGACATTGACGGTTAATAGTCTGCATTGTGTGTGCAATGAATAAATTTCCTGTCACGACAAGGATTTGGAACTCACAGCGTGGCATGCTTGTGAGAAAGAGTTGTGACAACAACAACTTTGAGCTGGCGACATTTGATTAGAAAGTGAAAAATGTGTTTTGTCGGTTATCTTAGCTCGTGCAGACAGATTGAGTCATAAATTGTGAGAAAAGTCACAACAAGAGAAGAAAAAACCAACGCCATTAAAGAGGAGAAAAAAAACATGGCAAGAAAAAGCATATCATGAAGGAACAAAATGCTACAGAAAAAAATCAGCTCTTTAACAGTCATAATTTAATGGGAACTGTGAAATGGGATGGAGTAGCAGGAATCAAAAGTGATGGTGCGTGTTTAATTGGTGCTTGACATTTGTTTGCCTAAAATATGTTTGAATGTTTCCACGTTGCATTGCCCATCGAATGAATAATTGTACGTACTTAATTAATGCGATTTGTTTTCGCCATAATTTTCAATTTATCTACATAATTTTCAATTTACAACATGGACCGAAATCATTTAATAGATACAAAGACGACCCAAATTCACGCCGTTTGCGCTCCGAGTTCACAATTCAGGCATTAAAGCAGCAGAGCGTAAACTGGCATTCGGTGATCGTTGTTAATGTGTCTATTTTGTGTCAGTGTACGCTGGTCGGTCATAAAGTTGCGACAGCCAGACCAAAGAGATTGAATGGGAGTGAGTGTGAGTGAATTGAAAGGGTGAGTGAGTGAGTGCAAGTGAGAGCAACAGAGATAGAAATTGTTGAAAAGAGAACTGAAAATAGGATGAAGCTCCTCCGATAACAGACATTGTTTACTCTCTCACACAGCTCTCGTTTCGCTATGTTGGTTTTGGCTACAGTGGTCAGACAGACGGAAACAGTAAAGTTATGCTTTGTTGTCACATGCACATCGCAACACTGTTATGCCCTGGTGATACAAAGTACTTTATCATTTATCTACCGACAAGTTTATGTGGACATGGAGTCATAGTGGGAATGCGCCTTCTCCGAGAATGTTAAATTAATTTGTTTGCTACAAAGTTGCGGCATATTTGGTGAATTCCGGGTATTCGATTGAATCAGCATTTGCATTGAATCGGTGTAAGTAATAAAATTTTGTGGAATAACAGCATCGACCCGATGTTATTATTAATCAAAGTATGGACAAACGATTCATCAGACCGTCTGCTTTTGATAGGTAATAAATGACGTTGTCGTCAAAGTTTCGATACATAAATATTACCGATTCATAGAACGAGACAGGGAGTGTGTTTTGTTCAAAGTGTTTGTTGATTGGCAATTAGCTAATGAAATATTTGGATAATTTTTTTTTTCGAAAATTCGAGCTCATTCAAGCGTATCCATGGTAAAATCATTGACGATTTATTGTCCATAGCGTTCGAACAGAAATGCCATCGCTTGAAAGGTCAAATGCATAGCATCAGGTGGACAATATAATGAACATTTGAATTTATATACTGTAGACCTGTGTCCGATGATACCAATTTCCAAATAGAGAATAACAATAGTTTAACGATTACATGATGTAAACTTCCATCGGGTCACCGCAATCAAGCATATATGGCTCGGGGGAATTGAATTTCGATCATCGTATCTTCCTTATCGCTCGATGCACAAAGGTACCATAAGAGTCTAACCAAAAGCGAAAAAAAATTATCTCAAGATTGTTATTATTATGAGCGGATCAACCAGTAAATGTTTATTGTTTATTGTTTACACACAAAGCAAATGATCGAAACAGAAATGTATCCTCCATCAAGTCTCATTATTAGTCCATTTATCTTCCGCAGCGCAACTGTGTAAAATGATTGTTTTTGTTAGCCCAATCGAATTATTCTGTGTGGTGGGAGTTTTAATATTGAATTGAACGGTTTGAGCACGTTTAGCCGATTATCTTCTAGTTAATTCATTTGCCAACAGTAAATGCGGGTCGAGGAAAATAAATCGATTTATAAAGTAATAATACCCATACACACACAACGCGAAAAATGTCCGTCTCGAGCCCGAAATAACAAACAACCGATCAATATGGTAATTGAATTGATGAAGTTCACGCCTGCCACTTAATAACCATGCCGAACACATTACTTCAAATCCAGAACACAAAACGAATAACAAGAGGACGGAAAAGAAGCGGCTGTAAAAACACCACCGCCTAGCTGCGATAATGGAATTTTTGGTCGAGATAAGGAGAGCGAGCTCGAGAGGGATTGAGAGAGATTGAGAATGAAATAAACATGTAAACATTTTTTTGATAGGCAATGAAGAACTGCGACCAGACTCACAGCTCTAAAATAGATATGCGTCCCAAATCACCCAATTTAACTTTTGCACCGCTAAACAAACTTATTTTCGGCGGCTGAGCGTGTGTCTTCAAGAGAGTTATTTTTTTGTCGAGTTGTAAAGCACGTTTATCATCGCCATAGTCGATGAATATGCCGAAAGAAAACGAAACGCATGTGGTAGGGATATTGTGTGGTTGAAATTGTGTATGTCGAAAAATTACCATGAAATTCGAACGACTGTTGACTCGTCGATTAATCGGATTTCAATTTGAATTCCATTCCTTTGAACAAATTCCATTCTGTCATTCTGCCTTGTTCCATTTTCCATAATTAGAATCAAGTATACCAGCCATTTTTTCGTATTTCGCATGAATAAATGATTTTTTCCCTCCTTCTACTTCTTCTCATTCCTTTTCTTCATCCCTCATTCATGCGAAAACGATTCAAAGCTGCTTTTCAACAGTTAAGAAGCTTCTTTTCAAAAGTTCCTTTAGACTTTTCTTATTTTCTCCATTTTAATTAACTTGATTACATTGGCATTATAGCAAAAAGGTCTTTTTTGGATGAACGATGCACGAAGGTTGTATCTTTCAAACACAAATCTTGGTAATTCGACTAGAAAATTGTGAATGATAACTCATTTCATTACCAATTTTACCTCAGAAAAGAACATGGTCTTCTTCCTATAGCTTCTTATCTGAAGCTATCGCTTTCTCTCTAGCACTCCCAATCATTCATTCATTCCACCTGTTTTTTTCCCTTCATCAAGACGAAAACATAAAATGTAAGACTCAATAAAAATGATTGCTTACAAAATGCTTAGCACAAAACTACCCTTCAATCTCAAAGTGTGCTCAAGCCATAAAGCAGCAAATAGCAATCACAAGAAGCCAATGGAAGAAAGTCAAACAGAGTGTGAATGCACATCTTTACGTGAATCGATGAAATGAATCGTGTCAAAAATGTTTGTGTGTGCAAATGTGAAAGGAAACGAAAATGTGTGGTTTTCAGTGGATGATGGTTAAAAGTGGTACTAGCATAGTGATGATACAATATAGTTTCGATGAGTCAATATTTGTTGTGAATCAAATGGTAAAAAGGATGAAACGAAGATATAGAGAACGAGTGTGGTAGCATTCATTTAATAGCTTATCAATTTGTATTGGATGCTGTGCAAATGTATAAATCGATCAATATCTCGTTCGCCTTTGGCACATTGCTTCTCATCATTGCACATACGTACACATTTCAACTCCAAAAACCAACTGTAGTAACTACTGACGAACAAAGGTCAATCTTACAAATGGCATCTCCTTCTTATGCACTGTACCTTTTCATAAACGAACGAGAGATAAGGAAACGTCGCAAAACACGCAAGTGTTTATATTCACCTGGCCGAATGCTATCGATGAAACGTATAAAAGACGTCGCTCGAGATACGACCGTCACATGGTTGATTTCGACTCGTCACAATGAAAACCATCACATATTCCGATTGACTTTCAAACCACAACGCCAAGTTGGGCTTCGTTGATGTTTGCATTTACACGCACGATTTGCTTTGGGTTTTATTGATAGCGTTGCTAGAGTACAATTCCATCATCTAATACAGTTCTTTTTTTAAGCTGACTCACTTTTATTCACTTTTCTAAAATACCTATAAATTTTCCCATCGATTTTTGGTGAGAGAAGAGCAAAAGAATAACCAAAGAAAACAGAGAGAGAGAGAGAGAGAGATAGAGATGGAGCAAAAGAAGACATTGCGGCCAGCTTCGTTTTGCCTTGTGATTTTGTTCATTGATAACATTGTTTAAGTGCTTGAATTCTTGATGGCGGCGTCGTCAGCGATGGTGATGGGATATAAAATTCACCTGAACGAAGACGAGCGAAAACTTCCATTCAAATTGAATATTTCGCTTGGAAATGTGTTTGACGGCCCCCTTTGGCAAATTCCCAATTTACTTACTGCTGCTTCGAGTGATATTTTTGCTTTGCCAGCAAACAACAGAAAATCGAACAAAAACAAAAAGAGAACGACATAGAGGGAGAAAGAAAGAAAGTAAAGAGAGATAGAGAGAAGGGGACAAATGGAGGAA